GTTCTGGGATGGTAGAACAGGATACGTAACCCGCTTATTTTTTATATTACTCTAATAACCTTTAAACAAACCATCTCACCTGTTCTGAAGATGAGGACATATTCCGAAGAACACCAATATGATGTTGGCAAAAGGAGAAAAAAAATGATACAAAAGATTAAAAAAACACCTGGTCCCTCCTCTTACAGAAGCAAGGAACTACAAATTGCCTGTTTCTGAAACATCTGGTACTAGTGACTATTTGAGACAGGCTACAGGAATACTTGTTTACTCCTAAATGAAAATTCCTGTTTCTAATAAACAAGTAGCAGCAAAAGAAATAGCAATAAGAAAGTTATCCGTCCTCCAAGTTCACTTTTCAGATGACTCCAAATCCCTTCACCCCTCAAGCAGCTGTTACTCTTGTACATAACATAGCCTGGATGGAATGAAACCTAATCTGAGAGAAGGAAAGCAATAACTACAGGTTTAAGAAAAATTACTATGACACTAGTCTTTTCAAAAAACTTAGTGTTACACTGATTTTACCAAGTGTTACTACAATCACAGGTAATTTCTGAAAGAATAAAACGTAGTTATTTTGTATGCTGTTACATTTTGATTCAAGAGCACTTAAAAAGTAAATATAAGCAGTAGTATTGCTACTAATATGTTTCATCCTTGATTTGTCCTCTACTGAATAAAAAAATCACATGTTGCCAAAATGAACTATGAGAACAGCTTAATTATCAACCAAAAGACTACCAAATCTGTAAATCTCCATATTAAACAACTGCATTTCATGAACACTACTAATCCTTGAATAAGGGCTTCCACACAACAGATATGAAGAGGCAGTACTGAATGTTAAACACATGACACTAATCAGAATTCTCCATTCTTCTAGAAAAATTTTTCAATAGTGATTCTTAAAAACAAGAAAATGCACCCACAGAGTAGCACACCAATTTCAGTAAAACTGAAGAGATTCTTCAGTTTCATGACCAAATTTGTGGTCAAATTAAAAAGATTGATTCCAAACTCAAACAACAACAAGGGCACTTACCTGGGACATTCGAGAAAGAACTTTGAACCCAGTTTCCTACATGTCAGTTTACACTCCCAAACAAGGGACAATTTGCCATGTCAAAACTGACAGATGTTTCTCTCATTCAGATATTTAATATAGAAAAAAAAATTTGGAGCATCACAAATCTATCAGAGCAAATAAGGTTTCACTGTGCCACTATGGTAAAAGACCACATGACACAGACTATCAGGAGCCCTCAAAGTAAAGAAACTTCCTCTCCTGACATTTCTTCAGAAGTTCCAAGTCTTCAGTCACCAAGATGAAAGGACCACAAAATGCACCACTTAATGTCAGTATTCCCAGAAGTTCTATGTAACACAGGCTTCTCAGTTATACATGCTAATTTTGTGTCCCATGTTTTTACAGCCAGACACTTCTGCTCCCAAACAGCACTACTTTCCTAGTACTCTAAAGTATCTAATGCAGTTACCTACTGTCTACATTTGGAAGAACCAAGCATCACATATGCAATTAGTCCAACTCTCCACATTAATCAGTTGCAGACTAAGACCCCAGATCGGCACTGAAGCAAGGTCTCTGAATTCCAAGGGAAGCATGACCCATGCAGGATTAATGGGCAAAAAGAGCATTAAACCTTCATTATGTATTCTCCAGTTCTCCAACTGTAAGGCTATGCACAGCATAGAACAGAGGAAAAAAAGTCAATTCTGATCTTCATACACCGGGCTTATATTAGAAACTGGAAACAAGGATGGCCCCTTTCACACTTTTTTCATTGAAAATACCTGAACTGGTCCATTATCTGCTAAAAAGGAAGTAATGCAAATATCCTAGCAAACCCTACATATGAAGATGTAGATCAAAAGTTTTTCAGAGTGGTACAACGTAAGAGTTTCCTGAACAAAGGTAACAGATTTTTTTGAATGGGATAATTATATCTACATATAGTCCTGCTTGCAAGATGCTCTCTTCGTGAGGTCTGTATTTTTTCTCACATGCACACAAAAAGCTGGACTACCAAAACTCCTGGGGAACTCAAGGCTTTTAACTAAGAGAAGTATTTGTTTAAATACTTCCCTCAAGCAAGGAAGTGTCAACAGGAGCTTGGACCTCCTAGCAATAAAAACTATTTGGATTCAAAGTACTTTTAATAAACACAAACACCTTGTGTAAGCCCTACAAAACCAGTCTAAAAATGTGCTGCAACTGATTCAAGTATGCTGCTGACATGATTTCTATTTTAAGTGTTTTCTGTACTAATGCAGATCTGAAAGAGAAAAAAAAAGAAGAAAAAATTTATATTCATGTTTTAAAATAATAGATTATTTACAACAGTTTAATCAGTTTACCTGGCTTTGGAGCTGCCTGAGACCTGAGCATCTGGTGGGTTCTAAACATGCGCAGACACGACATCTTCGCCTTTGGTGGTAACACATTGCCAAAAACAGGAGCTGAGCACTCACGGACAGCAATACGCAGGAGGCTCGCCATTGCTCCCAGACCTCACAGCAAATTCCTTGCCACGTATGGAATCCCTGCGGCGCATGCAAAAACAAGGCAAAAGCTATTAATGGCTCTGGACAGAAGGTATGTAAACGCAGCAGGTTTAAGGCCAGCTGACTGCCAGTAGCCACGACACAATCATTTCTTCCCACCTTTATCTTTCTGGCTAGAAAACAAAATCAACTTTTTGTAAGAGACCTATCAGATCAAGGTAAGTGGCCTGGAGATCGCATTTCTCTGACTCCAGGCTGTTTTCTCTTTGCACCGTTACCCCAAAAGAGGAACTGTGACACGTAAAAACCCGCCCCGCCCCAAGGAACTAAACAAACGCCTCCAATCTCTGCCAGAGCTCCCGCAGAGAGTTACCGCGGGCGGGACACAGCAGGGCACGCACTCTGGGCGGGACACGCCGGGCGGGGGAGCGGGAACGGGCTTCTTGCCGGAGCCTCCCTGAGCGCCCGCGGAGCGGCCCCTTCCCGCTATTTATAGTCCGCGGCCACCGAGTGACCTTGGGCAGGCGGCTCGTCCCCTGCCGTGCACCATGCCCTGCCCGCGGGGCCGCCCGCAGCCGCCACATCTCGCTCCCCGCCCGGCAGCGCTCCCGGGGGCCCCTTCCCGCGCCACCTGCCTTCTCCGCGCGTCCTCTCTCCCCCCCTCCCTTCCCCCGAGAACGGGATACCGCAGCCTTTCCCTCACCAGCAGCCACTCTCCGTCCGCGCCCAGAAAACGCGGCGGTGCCGCCGCGGCCCCACACGACGCCGCGCACCGGCCCTGCCCGCAGCCCCGCACACGCACCGCCCGCGGCCCCTCACGACACCACTCACCAGCCCCGCGGAGCCGCCGCCGCGGGTCTGACCGACCTTGGGGCGGGGCGGGGGCGGGTCTGCGTCCGCCAACCCGGAAGGACTGAGGGGAGTGCCGGGGGTAGGGACGGCCGCGTCACGCGGCGTGTGAGGGGCGGTGGCGGGGGGCTCTCGCGGTGCTGGGCGAGCCCGCGGCGACGGCAGCGGGAGCCCGGGATAGGGGGATAACCGTGCCCAGCCGGCGGTGGCTGACTGGTGCCAGGAGGGGAAGGTCGAGGCTGGCGAAGAGACGCGTGCTGGACGTGGGACTAACGCCACAGCACGTAGGTGGTGTCCCCTCCATTATTGTTACTTCTTAAAAATGCATGATAAAGCAGCGAAGTGTTGGACTTGAGGTGGTAGATGCGGTAAGGGAGGGTAAGAGGAAATGAGCTGTGGCAGCTTTGGACATCAGGAGGAATTTCTTCACAGAAAGGGTGGTTAGACACTGGAATGAGCTGCCCAGGGAGGTGGTGGAGTCACCGTCCCTGGAGGTGTTTAAGGAAAGACTGGACGTAGCACTCATGCCATGGTCTCGTTGACATGGTGATGTTCTGTTCGATCATAGGTTGGACTCGATGATCGCAGAGGTCTTTTCCAACCTGTAAATTGATTCTGTGATTCTGTAGCTGTGCAAATAATGCATGGCTGGATGAAGAGAGCACGTGGTTGGAGAGGCAGTTCCAGAGGACAACCACCCAGGCTGGCCATTGCCTGCATATGTTGTCTAACTTCATACGATCCTTCATATGTTATCTTACTTCACACAATCTGTGGTTTTCAGGCATCAGTTAGGCGTGTTTTTTTCTTTTTTCTTTTTTTAATTTTTTTTTTATTTAAGTCTGTGTCACTGCTCACGCAAAATACACATTGCTGGAGCTGTCACACAGCTTCCAGGTTTTAACTGAAGTTAAAACTTCCAGGTTTAACACACTGAAGATAAACACTGAAAACATGAGTCTCTGAGGGATATTATTAGGATACTCTACTACTACATGTTCACTATGGTGCTTTTAAATAAGTTATACCTGTGCTTTATGTTTTGGGCTCAATAACCGTTGGGCCCATAGTCCAATAAAAGCCTCATCAGTATGATAGAGATCGGCATAATTCAGTTATTAATTCCATTTTAAAAGCTAGAATTAGCCCTCTCTTTTTTCCTAATTATTATATGTTATCAGCATTAAAAAAACCCCAAACAGAAGTATGTAAAAATGCCTGGGTTCTGAATAGTGACAAGGTTGCAGTGTGTGGTTTCTCAACACCTGGCATCAAAGGTGTGTGCAGTATTGGTTCTGAACTGTTTCAGACTATTAGGTAAGACTCTTAGGACAAAGTGGGTAACTCCTAGTGGATACTTAGAAGTGCTCCTAATGGCCTTTGGTGAAGGTTTAATCCAGTCATTGAGTGCTTAGGATATGTTTTGCTAGCTTAGGGATCTCAGTGTTCTGCTGTTTGGTCTCAGAGGCTTGTAGCAATTGACAGGACTTCAGCTACTCAGGCCATTCTGCTTAGAATGTTTTAGCAGTCTAAAGGGGTATACTATTGTAGGCAGTGTTCAGGTATTGTAATTTTGAAATTAACTCTCTGATTATTTTTCTTAACTTTGTTTTAGATGTCTAATTAGGGAGGAGAAATTGGATTCCCAGTCAAACACAACTGTTCTCATGCAAACTTCAGTAGTGCATCTGTAAGAAAAATATGGACTTGGGATCACATTCCACTCTAAGTGGTAAGTAGTTGCCAAACAGTCATTAAATTAAGATAATATAGAATATCTGCTAAGTGAAAAGAATTCATATTTATGACCAAAGGTGAAAAGTTTTCTGGTTAAATAATGATAACCTGAGGCATTTAATTCCTCATAGGTGTATACCTTAAAGAGTAAGATTTGCTTTCTTGAAAAATTGGCATATTGAAAAGTGGTTGCAGTATATAATGATGCAGAATTTCAACTTTCTTTTTCACATTAATACAAGCTTTTTTTACCTCCTGGTAAGGTAAAGTCTACAGATGGGGACAGAGGTCACAATATAGGCTTTAAAACTAGAGCTAAAATAACACAAGAACACTGAATATTTGTAATATAGATATTTTAGTAACTAATTTGTGATATTTAAAGGATTGGTAATACTCCTTAAGTTAGTTGTGACAATTGTTTACACAAGACTCTGACAGAACCTCCTGCATTGTCTCTCATTCCAGTCACAGAGTATAGGTATGTTATTTTACCATTCTTTACTTTCAGAAGGGGTTGCCTAGGAACAGTGTTCCCATAAGCCTCATTAATTTTAACTTGTGTCACCATTAATGTCTGGCCACCTTTTTATCTCAACAAAAATCAGTTCAATTCATGCTTTGGGGAAGTAAAAAATATGTTACACCCTACCCCTCCCCCTGTTAAAAATTGAAAATGGTAACATGTAATAGTAAACATTCCTAAAAAAAGTAGGAACTCTTAAAGGCACCATTTTACAATCCAGTTTTTTTTTTAAATACAAGACAGCGCTGTTCTGATTTTTTTAAAAACCTTTCATACATACTTGCCTATTTTTTCATTCTCTCATGAGTGGTGAACAGAATTTGACCCAACACCACACAACCTTTTGACTTTTTGGCAGGAACGGGTGGCAAGGTCAGCAAAGATCAGACTGTTCAGGGAGACAAAACACAAACACTGCCAGCAGGATCAGCTGAGGTATATTTGGGGCACCCCAGATCATAGTTGCCCTCCTCATCTTGAAAGCAGATTGTGATCTGGAGTTTGCAGAACAAGTAGAGCAAGACTCTGGACTGAAATTGAACAAAAATAGAAGAATTAAATTGTAAGTGCACATGTGAGTTGGATCATTCACAGTTAACATGATAATATTAGAAAAATGCGTTACATGGACCATCTTTTTCAGTCTGTTCTTCTTGGCATGGAAGGTGGTTTTAAAAATTAAATCAGAAGAGCATTTGTTACCACATCATACATAAATTATACATGAAAACACATTGTTCTTGGCAAACACATTTATATTAAGTATCCCTAACTGTACAATAATGTGGTCATGTTGGAGACTTAACTTCGTCACGTTAAATTTAGAATTTCACCCACAGCTTTCCCACCCCTTTCTGCTGGAAACAGCTGTGCGTGCGCAGCGTGGCGCGATGCACCTGTGGCTACAGCTCTGCTGCTGTAGCCGAAGCCTTGGCCCTGTTACGGCCACCTCGCCCGCTTTCCCCGAGGGGAGATCAATCCCAGAGAATATCGCGGCTTTGGAAACACCATTTCCAGGCTGCCGCGGGTCCGGGGGACAGGCGCGGCAGCAGCGCGAAACCGAAAGTGCAGCGGCCGGGCGGGCCCGGGGCGGGCCCGCGCTCCGCCCGCCCCCCGCGGGCCCCCGCCCCGCTCCCTCCCTCCCATGAGCGCCCGAGCCGCCGGCCTCAGCATGTCGGAGAGTTTCGAGCGGGCGCCCCGGGCCAGCCGTGGCCCGGGCCGGGGAGGGGGCGCGTCGGAGAGCGGCAGCGGCGGGGCCTGCCCCGGGGTCAGCGCTGCCCGCGGCTCGGGCTCGGCCGAGGAGCAGCAGCACCAAGCGGGCGGCCTCTTCCCGCAGCAGGAACCATTGAGGCCTCCGAAGACGGCGCCGCTGGGCACCGGGAAGGCTGGTATGGACCACCCTCCCCCCTCTTCCTTTTTCCTGGGGCACCTGCCCGGCTCCTGGCGGCGCCGCACGGGGGTTGAGCGGCGCGGGGGCACCGGCACCTGTCCGCGGGAAGGTGGTCCTGTTCCTAAGTACCCGAGCCGTGCACCGCGCTGAGGCCGGGTCGGAGTGAGAAGCCCTGGGGAGCCGGGGGACACCTGGTTGACTAGGGAGGGGTGAGAGGAATGAAACCGAAGAGAAACAAGTGGTGCGTAGCAGAGTCGCCCACTACCTGCTGACCGATGCCCAGCCCATCCCCTAGCAGCGGCAACTCCTGGCCGACCCCTCCCCCCCCCCCCAACAGTTTATACACTGAACATCGCATTCTATGGAATGGACTGTCCCTTTGGTCAGTCCAGGTCAGTTGTCTGGTCTATGCTGCCTCCCGGCTTTTTGTGCACCTTCTTGTTATCAGAGCATGGGAAAGTGAAAGTCCGTGATTTAAATTAAGCACTGTTTAGCGATACCCAGAACATCAGCATGTTGACTGATTAGTCTCATACTGAATCCAAAACACAGCACTGTACCAGCTACTAAGGAGAAAATTAACTCTGTCCCAGCTGAAACCAGGAGACTGGGTTATGGACCTGGCCCAGGTAAAGGTGTGATGTAGTGCAGCTGCTTGCAACACTCTCTGTCCTTCCCCCTGCCTCTGTTCTCCCACATCTGAGTGTGCTTTTTATCCATCTGTTAATCTGACCACAGATGGTCTCAGCCTTCCCCCTATCGAAGAACTCCAGCCTAAAGGTTTGCGCAAAAATAAACCCAACCCAACAGTAACACAAAGCACTGTCTGTCGGTCAGCTTTTTCAGGAAGGTATCAGGTTCTGTTTTCGATAAACTTATGAGCTAATCTCTAATGATATGTTTGGAAAATATCATTTTAAAAACACCTTAAACTGGATGTTTTGGCAAATGGTGTATGAGAACAATGATAGCTAAGTGTCTCTGAGCATTTTGTTAAAAATAAGTTCCTAAAAATTTATTTCATTTATTAACCTTCCAAAGTCTTGAATTTGTATTTGAAATCTATGAAAAACCGCAGGATGAGCAAACGTACCATAAGCAGATTTACTAGTTACTTAGGTTAGCTCTTTCAGAAAACGTGTTTTCACAGGAGAGAAGAGCTCTTTTTTTTCTTTCTTTTCCTTCTCCCTTTTTTTTGGTCCCCTTCACTTTCCATCACATAGAAAGACATCTAGAGTGTGCTCAAATGAAAACTTTACCTTATTTAAGAAAAATAATAAAAACTATGTATTTAAAGTAAACTTGAAAGTACATTTACAGAAAAATTATATTTGAAGTAAAAATATATTCTGGGTTTACTCTGTGTGAATACATACTAGTTTAGTGATTTCTAAGACAAGTTGTTAACAAAAATTTTTCAGAACACCTGCAAAAGACTGGATTTCCATCTGGATCAGAAGATAAAGTTTCAGTTCTTGATTCTGGACCAGAAATGACTGAACCTCAGTTGACTGTGGCTTCTGTGGTAACATCAAAGCTGTCTGTTAAAGCGCCTGAATTTTATCCACCAGGGTACAACCAGAATTTCAATCAGAATTTCACAGTGAGTGTTTTAGCATCTTCCTTAGTATATGCCTATGTGCTTATATTCCAGTTAACAGTGTTTTCTTGAGATCTTTTATATCAGATAATTTCAATTTTGCATTTGCTGAAGAGACTGCAAAAATTGTCACAATAACCTCCAGAGTCGCAGCCAGAACGTTAAGTGGTAATGGGCAAATATTATGGTGTACATGGGAGCCTTTAGTGTGGGATATTTTGCCAAGGCTTGCTGGAGGTAACCACATTCCTTGTTGGTTACACCAAGCATTGGTTACATCTAGCATGAGAGTAAGCTGGTTTTTTGGTGACTGTCTCTGTTGTAGTGACATCTACGCTGCATTTTCATTAAAAGCTATACTGCATTTTTATGTAGAGTTCACAGGTTTTTGAAGAAGGTGCGGGGGAAAGCTTGAACTTTAGCTTTTATGAGCACAGGCTTTGCTTTTCCTGAATTTCCTGTGATTCGTCGTGACTGCCTAAGTCAGTGTATCATCATGTGTCTTTTAATTTCTTCAGTGGCATTGTATCACCAAAGGACAAAAAAATAAGGTTATACTCATTACTAGCAGTTACTTACCCACACACCTAATTGGAAGTATATTTCCAGCTAGACTAAAGGTGATTTTGGATCAATATTGTAGATGCATCATGAAGTTGGTACTTTTACTTTCTGCTCCATTGTCTTCCATGTTGCTGCTTCAGTAGTTCTACACCAGGGAAGATCTGTGTGAATTCTTGGAATATCATTTTGTTACACAAGCGGGCAAACTCTGGTACTATAGCCAAACAGGTGGGAACTATTACTTTTACAAATACAATCAAGTGATAAAAAACAACGATGATGAAGCAAATAGATTTTTTAATAACCTGTACAAAAATATTTTATTTGAATGCTAAATGTGGGGGTTTGGTGTTTTGAAATCTTTACCTCACCAGTAAAATTGATGTTACCTTTATGTTACCAGCTTTATCAGCTTACTGAATATGATTACTCTCCTGGATAATACAAGCCTACTGCCAATATAGAACTGTTAACAAAATGCCAATGTGAATATGCTTCAGTGAATCTAGGGGAAAAATAACTACTTTGCCCCAGTAGAGGTTACATGGTTTCTAAAAAAAAATATTTTAGTTTCAAGACAAAAAAAAAAAAAGGCCCTTTTGAATGGTATACATAGTGCTCACTTAAAATTGCAAAGTTTCAAGGCCAACAATGTTGCTTTTCAGCTGTTTTGCAAAAACACACAAGCATGTGGGAGTTCCTGATTGCTATGTTGTTGGAATATGCTATGAATGTGACTCATCTGTTAATAAAAATACCTCTTGAAATGTTAGCAAAACCTAGAATGCATATTTGAAAGTATGTTGCAGGAACTTTAATCAGAATGTACTAGGCATAAAACAGTGTTATTTCAGACTTTCATCCTTTGCTGTTACAAAATATTGGGTTTTTTACTTTAATGACTGAATTAATTTCATAAACTGGCCTCACTTGCAGTAAAAATAGGAAATTTTAGCACACTTTATTATTACACAGATTTTGACCATGAGTTTTTAAAATTTGAATCAAGACAAGGTTTTGAGAAACTTTTCTCTTTCTCTGAATTAAAATTAGTACTTTTTAGCTTTCATTTATAAGTTCCCCAGAATTTTTATGTCTGAAAACTTGAATTTCTCATATAAAATATACAGTGGTTTTGCTATTAAACGTTTATTGTTTTGGAAATAGTGCTGATTTATTATTTGATTGTACATTATTATAATTACCATATGTGTCCATATAACACTTGATTATTAGATCAGTTATTTCCAGTCAGTTCTGATACTCAAAACTATCTATTACCTGTGAAGATAGTTTAAGAGGTACAGCATACAATGCTTACTAGAATTTTCAGAAGAACTTTACCAGGGCTTTGGAGAAAGGCCTTCACGAAATTCTGTTTGCATACAGGGTCCAACCCATCAGAAATTGTAGGTGTCTACAGTAGACTAGAGAAGGGCATAATGATGCTCTCACTTAATAGTTTGAGGAGTGAGACTTTTATTATTTTAGGATTCCACAATCCTTCCCTCCTGCCTTTTTTTTTAATTTCAATTAGTTTCCAAAAGAAGGCCAAGCATAAGAATGGCACTTAACCTCGTTCAGCATGCACAGGTTGTTTTGTATATGCAACAGTCTTAGTACTTGAATTTGCAATAACTTTATTGTAAACTTGTTAAGTGCATATAATCTGAAGGAAAAAAAGCTCGTTCCAACGAAGTCCAAAGAGAAATCAAATCAATGATTAGTTACTAAGTTCCTAAGTGAAAATGTGAATTTACTAGATAGAGGAAAATGGTAACCAGCATATGTACAGAAACTGACTCCAAGAGCAGATTTGGCTCATGAATCTTTTCTGTAGAATTTCTGTTTTATCTTTATGTAAATCAGAGGAGTTTTAGTACCTATTTAGTCTTCTATTCTTATGTCTGTAAACTTGTGAAGTGACACTTAATAGAAGAGAAGCAAACCTATAATCTTTTAATTGGTGACCCCTTTGTTGTGAATAATCCAGGATCCCATCCTATAGCTCTCAAACATTAGGGAGAAGAATTAGCGCTGGCTTGATGGAGAAACTACTGATATTAATGAAAAATTTCTGGTCGACTTCCATGGCTTGGAATCATAGATTTGTAATGAGTGTGTAATCTTGCAGGTTTCTGTTAGCCAACTTTTGCTAAAAATATGCAAGAGCCATTTGCTGTATTTTTCTTGCGTTGATACAGTGCATGATGCTATCTTTATGTTAAATCTTAAAATCTGACAATGAGAAATGCACATAGTTTATGTCTAGAAGTCACTGGGCTAAATTCAGTTAGTTTTTAAAGTATCAAGTGTAAGTAATTTAGCAATATACAACTTTATTATCATATTTGGATTGCTCATTTTTCTCTCCCATTTGTTCAGTTCCCTAGCATAAATACTAAAACCTAGGCTTCTTTTGAAGTCGCATAATTAGTACAGATATATGAACATGGCACAGAGTTTAGCCTCTGTGTTTAGCCAATTAATTACAAAATTGTAGGAAGTAGGAGTATACGGGGACACCAGTACACCAAATGGTACTAGGGTCCCTTACATTCATTCTCCTCCAAGACTGAATTCTTACTAAGTGTGTATGAGAGGAAGATACCTTCCTCTCTGCTGATGGGGATCTCATAACAATCTGAGGACTGTCAGAAAGAGCAGCTTCTTTTATTAGCTACAGCAATTGCATGCTCTTAAGCCTGGCTGGAGAGTCTTCAAACAGGTTGTTTGCAGAGATGCTAGTTCAGCTGTATATGAATAAGCTGCACTAGCTGCACAGTAATGTAATAGTGCTGTGGAATAAAATAGTTTTAAGTTTATTGTACAGAACTCTTACTGGGCTGTCTGAAGTTACCTTGTAAAAGTTGATTTCCTTTAGCAACATGGAGTGTTTAGCAAGTCACACATTATGCCTGTTAGCCTTTACTTTTTGGTTTTATGAGCTCTAATCCATTAGAATCATAGAATACTTTAGGTTGAAAAGGACCTCCAAAATTCCTGTGCTTCAATCCTCAGCTCAGATCATGTTGTTGAAGGCTTTATCCTTGTGGGTAGTAACAGTTTACTATTATTTCCATAAACCCATATTTTTTTTCCTATTTCTGATGGGCAGCATTAAATTACTTAGTCTTTAGTATATTAACTGAGCAAATATTCTGCTTAATTAAACATCATAGGAAATCTTTCTAGTTTTACTGTTGTTACATCAATGTGTCCCCCACCTCACTAGCTTAGAGTTGTATAACCTTATCTGGGGAATTTTGGAAAGTCTGCTTTTTTTCCCACGCATTCTTCACAAGTCATGAAATTAATGTCAGTACTTGATTTTCAGCAGTGTGTATCTGTCTTTCTCACAGTTCATACTGAGATAAAAATTTTCACAGATCCATGTTGCTTCACAGTAGAGGAGAGATGGAGGCATTTTGAAGATATAGTAAATGAAAACCCCTCATTAAGGGAGAGGAAGAATATACTTATAAACCTTGTTACTCTATGTACACTATGTAAAGAAGGAGTCTTTAATCATTTTAGCTCATTTTTTCATTGCAGTAGATACTACACTTTAAACATTTTTAAATAGTAGATCAGTTGAGAATTCTGATATTCTTTGTTACTCTTATGTCTTGAATTGCTAATTGTAAGTTACTTTTTAGCAGTCACTTTTCAGGCTTTGTCTGACACTTCTGAAATCTATGAGATGCTTTTCACAATCATTTGTGTAGTGTGACAAAGTGAATTATTTGTACTGTGTTTCTACTAGTGACATCACAAATTGTGCTGCTTTTTTTCGCTATTCCTCTAATATATCACATCATAATAATTTGTAACAGTATTGACATTAGATACTTATATACATTCATTTTTGAATGGACAGAATCATCATTCCTCTGTCCCATCAGTAGGAGCATAGGCATTGATGAAGTGATATTGGGCTAGCCACTCCTTTCTTTAGGGAACAGGTGTGTTTACTGTCTGGTTTTTAACCTCAGTAGCTGCAAATGAATGCAATGCCATTTGAATAGTTTCATTTCATGCCTTGTAATCTTTCATCTATTGCCAAGTGCTGCAAATATGCTGACTTTAAAATATCAGTTTTCCTGGTTATACTTTCTACATGGGAACACGACACCATATTTATTGTATTTCTTCAATTTCTTCCCCTTCTTTTGGAGCACTGTACACACTAAGTCCAAAATACTTTGTTTCAGATTTTCAGTTTTTTACTTCTACAGTTCATGTGTCCACAATACATTTTGTGTGCACATCAGGAATGGGTGTTGAGCCTCGGTCTGGTAGTCCTACCCTTAACAGATACTTACTTTGTTAGTTAATCTTGCACTCAACTTGGAAAACTGATTTCTGTTTAATCCCTCTTTTGATGTGTTTTGCTGGAAGACCCTAATGTCTCTAAAATACCTGGTTAAGATGTTCAGACTACAAGAGCTTTGTGATATGGTGAGGTCTGTGCTCTGTAAAAAAGTTGAAGTGCACTGTGTAATCAGTATGCAGAGACTCAAAACTGGGGGCTGTACAGTTACTTCTGGAGATAGTGTGACAGCATTTTTCAAGGTTCTTCTTAAGAGGTTGGTATATTCTTTCACTTCTACAGGATTCTTCCTTTGAAGATAGATACGATGGCTATCTGACTTTAGCAGAATATGTACAAGACTTCCTAAATCACCTCACCGAGCAGCCAGGTTGTTTTGAAACTGAAATAGAGCATTTTGCTGAGGCACTGAATGGCTGGGTCACTACAGATGAAGCTTTACAAGAACTTGTTGAACTCATCTACCAGCAGGTAGTCTGTGTATTCTGTCTTATAACAAAGATATGCCTCTGTTACATAGTGTCCAAGAATGTGTGCCAGTATTATTTGTTAGCTCATTGTACTTGTGTAGTATTTTAATGGTTTGATTCCCCCCCCCCCCTTTCAGACTGAAACATACAGGGAAAGATTTTGCTCAATAAGTTGAAATGGTAGCTCAAATGTGGGTTACCTATCTTGTATACACTTCCCCAGCTTGCTGCTTCCTTTTTTATGTATTTGTAGATCTCGGTAAAATTCTACAGTTGAAGTTATGGTGTTTAATTAAAGAAGGTTATATTTGAAACTCTTAATCAATGTCAGACTTGTACCTTTTCATTCTATCCTGCAAAAAAAATTCTTCATAATCCTAAAATATTCTTAATTCCTTGGTATTTAAAAAAAATAAGTTCATACCTACTGTACACATCACCCCTTGGGAAATGGTTCTTTATTGACAGGTTTTTTGCTTTAATTTGGAATATACCTATTTCGGAACAGCATAACTGGAGAAGAGGAAAGCTCATCTGAGGGTAACTAGATCCAGTCCCATTGATGGCCATGGAAATGAGGACAGAGACCTTGAGCTGAACTCTGTACTAATTGGGGGAGCCATTGGAAAGAACAGCTTAATATGTGTTGCTTAGCAAATGAGCTGCTGTTGCTGTCTTTTGGGCTCACTGCATAGAATGAAGCCACGCTTCTGCTTGCTATTTATTACATTGGGTGTCTCACCCTTTCATGGGTTTGTTGCTTTCAAGTTCTACCTTGAATGCAGACTTTTATTCAAGAGCAGATACCTGCAGAATATTTTAATCTGGGGTATGTAAAAGTGGAATGACTGGTTGGCCATTGTACAGAACTGTAGAATTTCAAGTTTCTCATTATTATACAAAATTAATGCACATTTAATTGAAGACAGTTTAGTTAGACATTAAGATCATCTGTGTGGTGTTTGACAGCATCAGTTGCTGAATACTAGAAGAATTACTTCATTCCCATCCTTTATTTGAACCCATGGACGATAGTTATAAAAGGATGAAAATATTCCATATAAGTTCACTGAAGAAAAAAAGAGGAATTTATGCTATTTTTAACTTCTTGTATTTTAAATACATTGACTCTCATCTAATGTAACTTAAAAACAAGTCCAGCATTAGGGTTTACTGTGTCTTCCTCAGCTGAGAAGCCCAGTGTTACCAGTCTGAAATTATGTGAAAAATACAACTTAGCACAAAAAAGCTGTGCTACTATCCCAAAGTATCTAATTTTAGATTTGTTGTATGTCAGGGTAGGATAGTGTTTAAGCGTAAGTCAACTACGCTTATTATTATTCTGTGTTGAGCAGAAGCCCAGATACTTGTTTCCTGGCTTATCACAAAACGATTAAAATTGCTGAAGTTTATATGTGTCTGCTTTAGTGATGTTAATTTAACCCAACTAAGCAGGTTTACACTGCTCCTTGAGAAAGTATGTGTCTTTGAAAAAGTGTTTCAATGTCCAGTGTTGCTTTTTGTATAAGAGTTTGTAAGTGACCTTCAGACACTCTTTGGCTGTAGGTCACAATGCAGAAGTAGAGTTGAAGATATATGGCATAATGGTGATTGTTTTCTTAGAGCCACAAAATCACAGTAAAATGAACTTTTAAGTGCTGAAATGCATATAGTGAAGTGTTGATGAGATACAAAATGAACATGGCAAATAGTAATTGTTAATCATTACTCTTCTGCTCTTCAGTTGTCTAATCAACTGTAACTAAGCACAGATTTCAAAGAAGCTTTTAAAGGTATTTCCTGATAGCTTAATCATTAGTTTTATGAATAATTTATTTTTCCATTTTTATTTCGGAAGGCCACATCTGTCCCAAATTTTTCCTACATGGGAGCACGGTTGTGTAACTATCTATCTCACCATCTAACCATTAGTCCACAAAGTGGGAACTTCCGACAGTTGTTACTTCAAAGGTCAGTATCAGCAGGTCACTTGAAGCCTGTTACTCTCTTACATATCTTTCTGTTTTGTAAAGAATTAGTATATACAAAACAAATGAAGCACCATGCAGTTGCTCACCACCCACTCCACCCACCCATGCCCAGCCAGTTCCTGAACAGCAGACCCCAGCCAGCTTTATCCCAAGTTTATATGCTGAGCATGAGGCCACGTGGAATGGGACATCCCTGTGGTCACTTGAGGTCAGTTCTCCTGACTGTCTGCTTGTGCCACCCCAGCCTCCTCACTGGTGGGGCAGGATGAGAAGCAGAAAAGTCCTTGATGTAATGTAAACACTGCAAAGCAACAGCTAAAACCAGGACATACACAGACTGAAAATACTCATTTTCCCCTTGTTTCATTGCTTTCAAAATTAATGCTTTTGGTTTTTTTAACTCTGTGTGTTACTTGGAAATGAAAGGAAATCCCTAGGTATGTTGGATTTCCTGGTTCCTAAGCAAACCTAGTAGATAACATTCATTTTAGCACCCTGAAGCCATGAATTCAAAGTTGCTTAGGTTTTTGTTGCTAATATGGATGAAATTGAGAGGAGAGAGGGTGTGTGCAGATAAACAACCCTACAATATGACCACAGAGAGATCCTCTTCTGTTTCTCAGCAAAGTTACTACCTGAAATTTCAGCTCTTTAGATTTCTCAATTTCTCCACTGTTTTTGAATCCATTACACAATCACTGAGAATACATTAGAATTTGTCTGGCCTTCCTTTTATCTCAATTATTTTTTAAATTTGTTTTTGGACTGCCATTTAAACTTGTATAGTTTTGGCACAGTTGCTGAATACTAGAAAAATTACTTCATTGCCATACTGTCTTAATCCTGTGTGTTTATATTTAAATGATAGAGTGGTTTGAGTTGGAAGGGACCTTAAAGATCATCTAGTTCCAACACCCCTCCTATGGGCAGGGAACCTCCCACAAGACCAGGTTGCTCAAAGCCCCACTCCACCTGGCCCTGAGCACTTTCCAGGGATGGGGCATCCACAACTTCTCCGGGCAACCTGTTCCAGTGCCTCACCACCCTCAGAGTGAAGAATTTCTTCCTAGTATCTAATCTAAACCTGCCCTCTTTAAGTTTGAAGCCATTCCCTCTTGTCCTATCACTACATGCCCTTGTGAAAAGTCCATCTCCGGCTTTCTTGTAGGCTCTTTGTAGGTACTGGAAGGTACTGGAAGGTGTCACCAAAGCCTTCTCTTCTCCAGGCTGAACAACCCCAAATCTCTCAGCCTGTCTTCATAGGAAGGGTGCTCGGGCCCTATGATCAACTTAATGCCTCTCATCCAGACTTGCTCAACGTGTCTGTGTCCTTATGTTGGTGACCCCAGAGCTGGATGCAGTGCTCCAGTTGGGGTCTCATGAGAGCAGAGTAGAATCTCCTGTCCAGCTGGCCACGCTGCTTTGGATGCAGCCCAGGACATGGTTGGCTTTCTGTGCCGCAAGTGTGTTACTGTCATGTTGAACTTCTCATCAACCAACACCCCCAAGTCCTTCTCCACAGGGCTGTTCTCAACCACTTCTTTGCCCAGTCTGTACTTGTGCTTGGAATTGCCCTGACACATGTGCAGAATGTTACACTTGGCCTTGTTGAACTTCATGAGTTGCACAGGCCACCTTTCAAACCTGTCAAGATCCCATCCTGTGCCATCCCTTCCCTCTGGAATATCACTTGCACCCCTCAGCTCAGTGTCCTGAATTGTGTATCACTGTCATTTAAAATGGTGAGATAAAGAATTTATTAAATAAGTGTAAAGGCATCTAAGACAACATGGGCAGCGTCCTGAAGGGGGGAACGTGTCTATTTCTGTGGACATTTGACTGCCTGTGCTAGTGTTACACATTCTCAACTGATGTTCTAATGTATAAATTATTGAACTGTCTTCATTTCTACGTGTTGTAAATTGCTCTATTTCATTTTGCTGCATCAGATATCTTACTGCTTAAACACATAATCATGTAATCATATGTATTGTCTAAAGGGATGAAAATCCACTGTTCCTTTGTGAAGGCCTCATATCCCTCACATATCACACTCCCCAGCATTCAGCATGTAACAATTTTCATGCAGGTCATAAGTTCTCATCATTCCCTTCAATATTTGAGTAGCACGTTACATATGTTAGAATGGTTATAGATTATATGATTTTGTTTTAATATTTACAGGTGTCGAACAGAGTATGAAAACAGAAATGAAGCTACCAAAGGTGACGAGGCTACTAAAAAACAATTTCATTCCTTTGTGCTGTTCTTAGCTGAACTTTACCTTAACTTAGAGGTAAGAAGAAAATTGTATGTCAATTGGTTCTTCGTTATTTTTTTGTTTTGTTTTTAGGTAAACACTGAACTGAAATACTTTGAGGTGTTTTTTTAAAGCAGAGGGGAGTAAAGTAAAAGAACTTTAGAACAGTTTCATTATAAAGCATTTGTCCAAGAAACATACAAACAATCAAAAAAAATCATTAGAAGATAAGTGTATAGAAATTAAAGTGTAAGAATTCATAGAAAGAACTGACCATAAAACACCTCTGAAATAAAGCTTTTGACATTTTCTTTTACTGGCAAAACCCCCATATGACTATACTTAAACCAACATGCGAAATGTTACAGCCTAGCAGAAGCAGATCAGGATCAATAACCCATGTAAATCAGCATTAAGACATTAATAGGAGGTGTTAACAAACCCTTGAGAAAGATGTGGAAATCCTCAAAATGACAAATTAAAAATTGAGACCTTTAAACATATTTCTTCTGCTGATTGACTCCATGGCTTATGCATGAAGCATGAAATCTTGTATTGGTTTTCTGTATTTGTGATATGTACAAAAAAGTCTACAGAATTTTCTTTTACAGCTGTGTATTCACCAAATTCACTAAGTGCTGTAGTGTACTTTTGACTTGATTATTTCAATGGTTTGATTTAAGCAGACACTATAAAAATGTTCTGCTGCCATGAGGAAAATCATTCTCTGACTCTTTAATTTCTGTTTGCAAGTGGTCTTTGAAATCTACTTTTCACTTGCTAGAAGGAAAAAAGAAAGATGTGCAAAGAGTTTGAAGGAGAGGGAGTTGTCCATTTTTGGAGTTTACCATACTCTGTGGAGTATACCATTTATGTTTAAACCATTTTCTGTAATTTTTTAAATACATAAAGAATGCCTTCTGGAAGTAAGCCACCACAGCTGTAAAAAATACATAATGTAGTGTGGAAAAGAGCATGGGGTTTTGAGAATTTGATATTTGGTGGACCATTGGGGAGGCATTTGATAGCTTTTCTTAGCAATTTGTTAGCAGAGAAACAAATGCTAGGCACACATTATTATTTCAGAATTGTAAGGATAGTACTTAAAGTACTAGATAGTACTAGAAGTGTGGCCAGCAGGTCGAGGATGATCTAGATGATCTTTAAGGTCCCTTCTAACCCAAAACCATTCTATGATTCTGTGAAAATCTGCATTCTAAAATGATTGCAGTATTTAGCATGTTCTTCCCAGTGTGGAGATCAACTATGTTGATCACAAAACAAACCACACAGCATTGAAAAGAGAAAATGTGCCTAGACTAATTTTTAAAACTCAAGTCTTTTAAATGTGGGGGGTTTTTTTAATATGTATTTTTCAGATTAAAGGAACGAGGGGACAGGTAACACGAGCAGAAATTCTTCAAGAAGGCCTTCGGGAATTACTAAATGCACTCTTCTCTAATCCTGTGGACAGTAATTTGATATGTGCAGTGAAACTCCTGAAGGTGAGACAGTACTATAATCATGGGTTTTTAACCTTCCTAGCTTTGGGGAACAGCAGGGTAAACTGCAAATGAGGAAGTATTTATAGAGTTTTATGCATTACATCATTAGCAGAGCAAACTACTTTTGTTTTCCTTAATATCATTAGAAAATTGAGCCAGTAAGAAAAGTAAAGTGATGCTCTAAAAGTGAATTCAAGGCCATTTGTGTATGAACAAGAGAAATAAAACTGAAGCTAAGGTTCAAAGGAGTAAGCAGTCCCTTCAGGTCTCATTTGGCTGCTTCTGGTGTGGGAGAAAACTAACCAGCTTGGATGAATTGTGGAATCTCGGGTGTGTTGTATGTTCTGAAGGACACTGGGCAATTAGGGTCCACTTTTTTGCAAAAGATTCTTGATATCTGTTGTTTTATTCTGTTTTGTCTGTGTCGTTACTGTTATAGAAATATATATATTTGTCTTTCATGATGAAAACAAACCTCTTTGATAGTAAGTTTACTTTTTAAAAAAAAAAAATATTACCTTTTATGCAGGGAGAAACTTTTATCTTCACTGGTATTATTATACTCATAGTTGGAAAAACACAGTTTATTTTAGGAATGAAAGTTAAGTGCTAGACATTTTTTTCTGAAGATTTTTGGTTGACTTGTTTGTTTCTCCTCATTCTTTACCCTTCCTCACTCTCCACTGTTTCTCAGCCTCTTCTGGCTTGAATTTCAATTCTGACAGCTTCTTTTGATATGGTAAATAGAAAGTAAGGAAGAGAGATATTTTCAATTTAAAACCTTCATTTGATGTTTGGATGTTTAAGCAGATTGCTTCATTGCAAGTGTGAGGTTGTGCTCAATGAGCACATTCGCTCCTGTGGTCAGTCATTACATTGACAGTGCTTCCCTGAGGGCAAGGCCCACTGAAGAACCTTTTCCAACACTTCAGGAAGTTTTGCAGTGCTGTTTTTCAGTCATTTTCCAATGAAGGTGGAGATTTGGCTTGACAGCATTCATTCTGAAAAAAAACAAGAGTGATCTAGATCATTCTGACACACTACAGTATTAAAAGGTCTTACAGAACATAGAGACTCTTTTTTAATGCACATATTTTCTGGTGTCTTACAGTATCTACAAATGTTGAGTTCACATGTAGCTGGACTAGGCTATCTCATAAAACCTTGGTTTTACTACTAAAGCAATAAGGGTCTTATCTTTTCATTTTAATACAGTGATACAGTTTTTCACCTTTTTGCTGTACAATATTTATTTTTAATGAATCTTCTTGATGCTATTATCTAATTATCTAGGATCAAGGTAGGACAACAGTAGAATAGTGTGAATACCAAACAAATGCTGACCAATATATCTTGCATTTATCTTAGGATTTTATCCCTTTGTATCATCAGGTGCCATTTCAAGCATTTTCTATCATGTAATATTTATGGTGAGAAGATCAGGGATTACCATTAACTTTGGTCCTAGTGGCAAACCAGTTTTTTTCTTACTTAAGTCTTGAAGTTATAAATACTAAAATACTCAATGAAGTACCTATTCCTGTAGTAAAAAGCTTTCATCCACAGCAGTTCTGTGCTTTAGACTGCTGCTAAAGCTTTCTCAACAGCAGCTTTAGCTTCACAGACTTTATGTATTAAAGTTTGGGGTGGCTTGATCAGATGACTCTGGTCTCCTCTATATATACACCCAGATGAAATTCTCTGTGATGCTAGTCAAGTTGACTGCAATGTTTCTACAGTTTATTAAAGTATTTGTTCTCACGTAAGCTGGTGGCATCAGCTGCAAAAATAAGGTTTCCTTTGTCATAGTATGCACTTAAATCAAGTAAGATTTGACTGCTGTCACTGCAGAGTTGTTTCAAAATCATATTTCAAGACTGAAAAAAGTGGTTGTGAACTTCTAGGTAACATATACCTCTACTGGACATAGAGTTACTATGCTGTCTGTAGTTTAAAATAAACTATTATGAGATCTATTAATCTGTTTAACAAAGAGATGTAGGCAATGGGGTGCTTCAGCCCTCAGGTAGTCACCTAATGCATCTAAGCGTCGTGAATTGTTACAGAATCTCTTAAGTTGCCAGTTTATTAAGGTTTTCTAATTTTCTTTAAAAAAAATACTAATCCTTTGTCTTTAGTTGACAGGCTCAGTTTTAGAAGATGCCTGGAAAGAAAAAGGAAAGAATGATATGGAGGAAGTGATTCAGAGAATTGAAAATGTTGTGTTGGATGCAAGCTGTAGCAGGTGAGAAGATAAACTTACGTGCAGTGTTTTGTTTATATTGAACAGAACAACTTGAAAATCTTCAAGAATAATGAACAGGTCCAAAAAATTATCTTTACTTTTATTTACTAAAAATAACATGATGTTTGGGTCATTTCCCATGTAAAAAAAGAAAAGGTATTTTTCAGTTGAAGAGGTGTGTGGATTTTTGGTTTTGTTTTGTGGAGGGTTTTTTGGTTTTTTTTTTCTTTTAACAGAGGTGCATATTCCACTCTATTTTTATTTTTTTTTAACCTTTTAGGTCTTGAAATCTTCCATAAGTGCTTTACGGTCTAAATGCAAGTATATACAAAGAAACAATAGTGGCCATATCTCATAGTTTATACTTTTAAATCTGAATGTAACAGCATTAAGTATATACAAACAGTATTAAATATGTAGCAGTATCAAATACCTACAAATCACTATAAATGTAGAGGCAAAATGAAATATGCTTTGTGGTTTTGTTTTTCTTCTGGATAACACATCTTTTTGCCAAGGTCTTTATTGTGGTCTGGAAAAAAATGAGTGGTTGACTAACATATTAGTAATGTACTAGTGGCTGACCAATCAACTGTGTGCATGATGTTGTCTGATTCTGCTGTGCTTCATCCTCAACTTCTTGCAAACTCACTAAAAACCTGTAGTAGGTTCAGACACTGATCTCTTGCCATATGGAGGGGAGGCCAAGAGGTAGCTCATATCTTATGGGTTGTAACTGAGCTGCCCCCAAGGAGGATGAGAAAAATTTTGCTTTCAGGAATCAAAATTGATGGCACAAGCTGAGATTTCAAAGACACAGAACAGCAAACTCATTTGAATTTAAAAAACAATAAAAAATTTTATTTTTTTATGTATTCCTTAATGAGACTCTTCTCCATAGACTTGCTTAAAAGAAGGCAATTTCTCTTATTTTAGGGATGAAATTGGTGTAGGTATCTAATGTACTGGGGACATTATTTCTCACTGTTAACTACCACATTTCAGTACAATGAGGAGGGCTGAAGTTGGGAGCATAGAATAAATGGCTGAAGTAAAATTTGAAGATCATCCCCCTGTTACTCCCAGTATTTTCCTTTTATCAGAAAAGGATTTGTTCCCCAGCTTGTGTTGCAAGGTGCGGTATCCCAATAAAAACTATAACAATTTCCTTTTTCATATGAGCTCCTTACTTAACAGCAGAGAAAGCGGAGAGGGTGAGTATCTCAAAATTGACACATAAAGCATCTATACTTGCAGGTGAAGAATTTAACTTAAAATTTTCTGCAGATTGGACCAAATTTTGTCCTTTCTAGAACATTTTTTGGAGTGATTTAACTATCTTGTATTGCACAGTAAGAGAAGCCCAATTTCTTGCTTGGCACAAAACATTGTAACTTTTGTAGTGGTTTTCTTTATTTCAGAGATGTGAAACATAAGCTTCTGAAACTAGTAGAACTGCGATCTAGTAACTGGGGTAGAGTTCATGGAACAACTTCACATACAGAAGCTACCCCTGAAAATGACCCCAACTATTTTATGGTAAGAATACATGGACATTTCAGTTTCTTAAATTAATGTGAATTTAATTTGATTCATAAATAGTCACATTACTCAAAACTACAAACAGCTGTCTCTGAATACGTATAACCTTCTGTTTGACTTTATTCTTAGAATGAGCCAACATTTTACACATCTGATGGTGTTCCTTTCACTGCAGCAGACCCAGGTATGTCACAAGTTTAGTTTACCTGCCTTCTCAATCATCTTCAAAAAGTTGTAGTTAAGTTTATGGCTTGTTGAAGTTCTTCAAACATCTGAAACTTAGACAACTTACAAGACAAAAATCTGTCTGAATTCCTGGTTTTGTGGAACACATGCTTTATTCTGCATTAAAAGAAGGTAAGATGTTTGAAATAGAGAATGTGCATTTGAGTTCATACAGTTCAGAAGAATTTGTGCCATAGTCCTCAGCATTCAGTCTCTCCAGGAAGCCAGAAATATTCAAATCTTCTACTGTTTATCCATTGTTTGTGGTAAAAGGGATTTTATTCCTTCATTTCTTTGTCATCTGTAATCTGAGCACAATGTGGCATGGCATCATTTGATGTAAAGACATCTGTCACTACCTTTACAGTTTGTGGGAAGTTAGGCATCAGTCTTAAAGGTCAAATCATGTCCTGAGAAAACATTGTAGGGGGAGTTTTTCCTGTTAACATGCTTCATGACATTTATGGTATCGTTAACCTATTTTCAAAGTTTATAGATGTATATTAATTTAGAGGATTAGTCTTCTAGTTACTCAATCTTATTTTTACTTCACCAGATTATCAAGAAGAATACCAAGAGCTGCTTGAAAGAGAGGATTTGTTTCCATATTATGAAGAAAATGGAGCAGATCTATCAGGACCTGGGGATATGTATGTTTTCTTTTTTAGGGATGTAATTTTTTAATAATAATTATTTTTACTGTGATTCTGTGATGCTGCAGAATTAGGATTCCAATCTTGACAAAAGTGAAATTAAATAAGATAATTGTTACTTAGTTCTACAGTGGAAGTGTTTGTTTGGGTGTAAACTGGATTGTAATCACACAAGTTTGAAACCAATTTCATATGTACCCACTTCAGTAGGATAGTTACATTTCAAATATTTATGCACATATACAAACAAACGTCTGCATTTCAAAAAAATTTGCAATCAAAATGAAGCACCAAGCCTTGAAGTGTTTCTAGTGAGGCAACCTAAATTCATTTGACTGATGTACATAAACATCTCAGTTAGAGGTAATTACTGAATTTTTAGTCTTTCAAAGGAAGGAATTTAAGTTCCTCTCCTCAGCACAAGAGTGCTTGAATTAAAGAGCTTTTCAGTATTCCTGTAGAGCAAGGAAAGCAAAGGGGGAAGCAATAGGTGAAAATGTAGTCTGACTTTTCTAGTGTCAGTTTATAAGAAAGAAATATGTAAAATAAGTAAAAGAATATGGTCTAAAATAAATTGTTCTGAGCTTTGGACTCACAGAGAAGGACTTTCATATCATGATTTGATACCCAAGAACATGTTCAGTGTTGTGTTTATGTGTGGTAAGAGTGCAAGCCTGGATTGATATTTGTGTTAGGAAATTAGAAAACTTTTAGATTGTGCCTAACTGTGGGGAGTGGCAACTTCGGAAGATAAATAAGAGATGTCATCAGAAATCAACAAGCTTATACAGAGGTATCAAAAAAAGACGCATGTGAACCTCTGTGCTTAGAAGAATAAATGCAAATTGGAACAGACAGCAGTTAAAAACACAGCAAATCCAAAGAGTGACTCTGAGTCAACTTTAAAGCAAGGTGACTCTGTAACCTTCTTTGTTGAAGGCTTAAGAAAAGTGTGACAAATGTCTGCTGATTCTCTGTCAGCTATTTCTCATGATTGACATCAGGGAGGAGGGTTCTGTGTGAGGATTCTGCCTTCTGCAGGCTACACTTCTGCAAGAAAAAAGGAACAAATAAATATGTAGATTGCTTTTTCAGTGCACAAGCTGGAGTAAAAAACCTTTTCATACACATTTTCTATGGCTTGCTGAGGTTTTCTGTGAAACACATTTATGGCCTCTGTGCAGATCAGACATGCTGATTCCGCTGTTCAGAACTGAGACACAGAAAGTAGTAAACTGAACACCTGAAATTAATGCACACCTCTGGAGAGTCAGTAGCTGCTGACTCAATTTTTTAAGACTGTTTAGAATTACATACACTATCATGTTCAAGCTACAACTCTATTGTCCTAGTCTATGGTTAGGACATGAGAGTTGGATATGGAGAAAACAGGGAACACACAAGTTACTTCCCAATATACTGTGGGGGGAAAGAAGCTGAAGTGATGCCCATCACTCCCTGGCTTTATTTTGAAACGCTGTGTTAGTCTCCTCTGTGTGCAATACTTACATAATTAATGGGATCCAGTCTTTCCTTTGACCTAAATAAGACTGATCTTTTCTGAAAGTCCAGCTACCCTGTAATACAAGGTAGTATAACGCAGGTGCAATAGGGAGCCTCCTTTTAAATATGAACAAACAGGAGCACAGGGTTTCTATATAAACATATTCCTTGAGCTAGCATGTTGACCATGCTAATATGTTGGTAATTATGTTTTTTGTAAATATATCAGTATAGATGCGTTAGTAAATTTTGGGAAGGTTGGATTGCATGATTGTGCTTTCTATCATATTGAGAACTAGTTCTGTCTTTTAAACTGGGCAGCAGAAGATCTAAAAAGGGGACAAACACTGTAGGTATTTGTACACATCTATGCTGCTTTGAGGTTTCTGTTTATTTGTTTTCCTAGTACCCATTATTTTTTCTTCTTCATCCCCTTTAAAAATAATGTCATACATACTGTCATTTATAAAGCTTTGTTTTATTCTTGACATCTACACAAATGGTTTTCAAAGTCTGTATGTAAACTTAACACCTTTGGTGATTTCTTTTTTCTTTAGGTATTTTGATGAGATTGATGATGAGATGGATCCAGAAATTGAAGAAGCATATGAAAAATTCTGTCTAGAATCAGAACATGAGAGAAAACAGTGAGATGTTACATATTAATGTTAGTTTATTAAACTTGTTTAGGTATAGTTAGAATACAGGGGACAAAAAATATTTGTACCAAAATGAGGAACTTTAGTTTCCTCAAGTACTAAAGTTATACAATTTCCATTTTATTTAACAGAATCTGCCAAAAATTGTAAACTTATGCCCTGTAACTTAAAATGTTGTGTATATATCATAGTTTATTTTATGAATAATGTTTTTTGAACAATGTTTTGGCTGCAATAAAAATGATTTAGAAGTTATAATTGAAATTAAAGTTTAATGGGGAATTGCCCCATAAAATTTCCCTTGAGGGAGAAAGGGAAAGAATAATGATCTGAATTTGCTTGCTTGTTTGCTTTAGTATATATTGGGGATATACTCATTCTATTTACCATATACCATATATGTTGTATTTGATTCCTTCCCTTCCCCCCAAGAAGAGTGTGATTGAAATAAGGAAAAAATTAATTTTTTTTGTAGATCACAATCATGAGAAGTGTTTTGTGAGAGTTTTGTTTTGCGTATGGATTTTTGTTTTGTTTATTTCTGTTTTATTACTCTTCCAAAACATGTATGGGTGAGGTCTGGACTTTTTTTTTTTTTCCCCTGGAATAAATGTTATATGTTGATACGTGGAAAAAGCAAGCAGTATTTTGGAAGTGGGGTGCTTTCAAGATCTTTGGTTCAGATAAGCTCATTTTCAAATTTACAAGCAAAAACTATGCTGTAATTTGTTGTGTTCTTCAAGACTACAATAATGTGGTTATGTTTGAATCCATGCTTCTCAAGCATACATGCAGTGCTCTTTTTTCTTCTTTTTTTTTTTGTTTTCAATAATGTATCTAACATGTCTAACCTTCTGGCAACGCTTGTAACTTCCTTTATTCTTCTAATTTTATGTAGTTTGATTTAATTTTGTAATTGGAGTAAATTCATTTATTTCATAAATGTTAACATTCTGAAGCCAACTGCTCTTTTTTGGACCCCATATAATCATGTTAGTTTTCCTAGGATGCTCCACTGGTTTTATTGCCAAACTCAGTTTGTTTCCTGTTACCTATACTGGTTAGACTGAGTAGAAAAACTTACCAAGAACAGACGCAAGTATTCCCAGAAATTTGCTACTATAAAGAACACACATTGTAAATATGCATGTAAATAATTCTGACAATATTTCACTGTTATTTGTTTGATTAAATAAGTTGTGCATCTGCTAATACAGTGAACACTGTTTTTTGGATGGTTATTTAACATACTTATTTAGGTTGGGGTTTTGGAAAATAAAATTCAACTAGCTTTGTTTCCTTTGGTATAATTTCACTACCTTGTCCTTTTGCTTTAAAACAAAAATTAATTTTGACCTTCTATTGCTCCTTTGCCCAACACTCCTTTTTTTTCTTCAAAGTACACAGTGGCAGAGACTCTTAATAATCTTTTAATACTCACTGGAAAAATAAAATTTATTAAAAGGCAGTATGGTCCTAAGGACTGTATTAGCATTTCAAAGTCTTTAGACTGAAATCCAGAAACTAGAAATGTGAAAATTAGCTGATTTTCATACATGCATTTGCTCATTGACCATAATTTTCATACAAAGTTTGTAATCCAAATATAGGTCAGACTTTCTGCTGACCTTATAAGCAGATGTCTTCTGGAAAACATATTTACTCAAAAGTAAAAGTCCCAAGGAATTTGAGCCTTTTAAAAGTCCCATATATGCTTTACAGTTAAGTAATAGTGACTTAGAGGGACTTCACTTTTCATATTTGTTTTGCATCTGTCGTGATGAGTCTTTCTGTAAAGTAGCTCTCAGGTTCCAGATGTACTCGGTCAGCTTGTGGAGACAGTACATCTTGCACATAGATAAGAAGTGTGCCAAATCATCCTGTGTTATTAAAATGTTGAGAACTAGGAATTTGTATATATGAAGCAACTGAGGTCAAGTTTGCAACATAAGCTTTTCCCTCCACCAGAAATACTGAAAAATCATGAAGTGAGACTTTTGTTCAAAGTAGTGGAGAAGTTTGCTGTCTCTGTACCTGTGAAGCTTGGTAAGAGCTTTAAGCCATTACTGCAGTAGGGAAAAATTAGTTATAACTCTGTCCTACTGCATAAGGAACACACCATAATCTTTTCGTTAAACACTTAAGTCATTCTTACTTGTCTTATATCTCACAGAAGTTTAATACAAATTAGTGACGGTGGAATGAGATGTGAGGAGAGCAACACAAAGCAGCAGGTTTCTGATTGTCAGAATCACCCTTTTCTGCTTGTCTGCCCACTTTTAATTGCCCATTGTTCTGTGTATGATAGAAATGAGTCTTTAAGATTATTTCACCTGATTTTAGCATTTACGCATTTCAAGTGCTGTGTATATGTTTCTCATCTACAGGTTTCTGAACAATGCCTTGCAAATATATAACCACTTAAAAAGGTGGATTTGCTTTATGGTGTAATGGTAAACCAGCGAAGGCACAGAAGCATGGAGAGCAAACTTTGGGGGAGATGTGAAGCAAGCTTCTTTAGCAGTGGTTCCGAAAAGAAACAGGCTTCACATTCAAATTTGAACAGGAGAACCAAGCTTCACAGATCAGTAAAAGTGCACAATATTTCCCACTCTGAAAAATCTAATTGTGATTTAACAGAAATGTTTAGTATTTAAAAACCACACTTTGTTTAATTTCAGACTGGGCTGCCAGAGTTGCTGGTTTGCATGTGCTTTGCTGTTGAGTGATTTTCATATTCAGAAATGAAGTCCACTTACTCTCAGTAGTTTCCTACAAAGAAGGTCTTGCTACTGGCCTTTTTTTTTTTCTTTTTTTTTAGGAAAACAAATGGTCACTAGGTTTTGACTGTTGGGTTTTAGGTTAGTTGTAGCACTACAGAAAGAAACAAAACTATGTCAGGTATCACAGGTATCACAAATTGTGCAGAGCTGGGATTTTTTTTTCAATACAGTAATCCATTATGGCACTGAATATTTGTGACACTTGGTCTGGTTTTGAATAGTAATCTTTATTTCTCTCTGAGACAGTACTTTCTTATCACATTCTGCCTTTCCTTCCTACTGCACAGAACTCATTCTATTACTGATAGCTCAAGTTTGCAACTACGCTCTGATTGAATTGCGGTCCTAATCATCCAGTTTATGCTTGTGCATCCTGGTAATAGTGTACAGGAACAGAAAATTACATTCCAACAAAAAGCCAGGGAAGATAGTACACTGTTAGTACCCTGGATTGCTGATTTGCCACTTCTACTTCAGTCTGTGGGACCTACTTCCACAGTTTCTTTGGTGAAGGTTTCAACCATAGCAGTGAAATTGTCAGGAAAATACAGTGTATCACCCATAATAAAAACTAATATTCAATACTCATTCATAATCCCAATATATACTTTGAAACTTGCTTCAGGCAAGTACTGTACAGAATAATACTCATTAAAAAGAGTATTGCAAATAGAACAAGGGTATTTTGATGCATGGCTGTGCCTGCAGCCACTTGACTGGATGCTGATGTACTCTCACCTGGGAAAACAGCTGTTGAGAATGGAAAGTTGTACTGAACGCGCTTCATCCATGATTTCACTGATCTGAGAAACTTGTACCTCCATAGGTAGGTAAGGGACGACTGTTACAGCAAGACCATGTGCTCTAGTGTGGATCTTCAGTTCTGTTTATTAAGTGCTTTGAATGGGGATCAATAATGAATTGCCACTTGGCTGTAAACTGTCAATCCACTTAAACCAGCTTTGATTAATTGTAAGTATTAGGGAGGGAGGGTGTTGTATATAATCTTCCAAAAAGGCAGCTAGGCATAATTTTAAAATTGTCCTTTAGGAACTCAGACCTTGCCTATTCAGCTACGACTTCTGCTACCCAGTTCTAATTACACAGGTTGAATTTCCCTGCCCTGCGAATACATGAATGTAAAGCAGCAGTCACTAGAGAATTATTTATAAGTAGTCTGTCTCTGGGGTATGTTGTAGATGGGCAGCCTGCCTCCTAGTTTTCCAGAGGTTCCGATGTGGGGAGGCAAGGAATGAACGCCGCTGGCTTGGTCCGTAGGGAGGCGGGAGAAGCAGCGCAGTTCTGCGTGAAGCTTCCGTGGGCGAGTGGGGTGCTGCGGGTACCTCACCTGGGAGAAGCGCGGGAGGAGCTCAGCGCTGCCCCCGTCCTGCCCCGCGGTTCCCGCCGTTCACCGGCAGGGCCATCTCGCCCCGAGCGCAGTCGGCCCCGGCCGATCCCGTGTGGTCCCAGCTCGACGTCCTGGTGCTGTTCGGGGACGACTCGGTGGAGGTGCATTACGCGGAGGGTCACGCCTGCTGCTGTCTCCGTGCGGCTGCGAGTACCTGTACGAAGCGGTGCTCCCCGCCGCCGCCCACCCGCTCCAGCCGGCGGAGACCACCTGCCAGCGGGTCGCCTTCGTCGTCAGTGCCTACAGGGTAAGGGACGAGCATCGCCTTTGGGGAGGGCAGCGGTACCTCTTCCCTGTGTTGTCCCAGGAAGCTTTCTTTGAGATGGAAGTGCCGGGGCTGCCGCCCTGCGCGGGCACGGGGCGGCCCAGGGGAGTCACAGCACAAAGTTCTTGTTTTTCTCTCTAAAGTGGAGAGGGTTTCTTAGATCAGCTCCGTAAAAGATAAGTAAAAAATTAGTTTAAAATGTTATCTCCTCATATAAAAACCCGTAACAGGGTGGTTTTGTTTTTCTCCACACTGCAACAGAAACAACTTCTACGAGCTGTAGATTTCCGGAACAAGTTTTCTTCTCGCCCGTACTTACCTTCTCGGGTTATACCTCCAGAGAGAAAAAAGGTGAGAGCTGGTTTTTATGTTGTTACATTTTGGCAGCAGAAACCTTTCAGGAAAGACCTAGTGAAATAGGATGGTGTTTTCCAAGCGGCTGTCAGGTTCAGTATTCCATTGTTTCCCCATTGAAGGACCTATGTGAGACTGTTGCTGGGGCCTGTGAGAGGAATGGGGCAGAGCATCACTCTGCAGGAATGACTGCTCTAGGTCAGACTGAACGTCCATCCAGAGAGCAGTTTACTGTTTCTGGGAGCTTTACTCCTCATCAGCATCCCTCTGGTGTTCCCACTGAATGCCGGTGTGGGAGTCTTAAGACAACTGGTAAATCTGGCGAATTTTATAACTTGTAGATGACACTTCATTAGAAGTGTAAAACACTTCATGCTAATGCTTAGCTGCTTAAACACTGTCAGTCGGTATCACTATATATGTGCCACAGGGCACAAAACCACTTGTACTGCATTACTGGGATCATGCTTGAGGTTTAAAACAACCTGTTACTATGGTGTGCTTAGGATCTCCTTTGGCCACTCTAACCATCCACATCTCTAGACAGCTTGATGAGGGAGATCTTGTCAGTGGTGTGGCCTGTTCAGAACTGCAAACAGTATTCAAAGTGCAGGTTAACTGTGAATACATATTCAGTGTTATCATTATATCTTCTGTTTGTTCTTGTTCCTTTCCTAGAATTTTCAAACATATAATACACTGATTAAACTGCTGTTGAGCATTGAGTATGTTTTTGTGGGACTGACAATTATAATACCAAGATCTCATTCCTGGTTGGAGGAACTCCAACAGGAGCAGTCAACTCAGAGCCCATTCTTTTATATAGAAAGCTAGGGCTGCTTTTCCCCATTTATATCACATTATGTTTATCCCAACTGAATTTTTATCTGCAGTGTTATTGTCTAGTCATTGATTTTTTTTTTTAGGGTCCTTTTGCAATTCTTTATGAACTCAGCCAGTAACTGACATGTACAAGATAGTTCAGCCGTTCTCCTCAGTGTTTCTTAAGAAGCAGTTTCTTGGAAATGGAAATACATACAGTCTATGGGTAGTTGTGCCTTGTCAGTTCCCCTGGACCTCACTACTTTATGAATTATTATTAAATTTTAACCTTATTGCTAGATAGAACTTTGTTAGAACAGGAGGAAGCAGATATGAAGGTTAGATATTTTGCTGCTTCTTGAGTTCATATATGCAAATAAATACAGAGCAACATTTCATGTCATACATCACCTTGCAGAATAACTGAATTCATTTAAATGTAAATTCTCCATTGTAATTTCTGAAAGGCAGGTCATTTTTATCTTGCTGCACATTCCAATTCTTTTTCTTGTATTAGATTCTTCTCAGTGATATCTTAGAAATTAGATGGCCTGACCCTGCAACAGCTGGGCAGCTGGTCTGACAAGATGTATAGACAATGGCAGTGTGAAGATCTCATCTGTAGATGGCTATGCTCACCTTTACCTGTCAGAATTGCAGCAAGAATTTACAGTGGAGTTCTTATGCAAAGTCAGCCAGTCATCTGCAGCATCCTTACGCTCCTTTCAAAAGTACAGCGACTATCAAACTGGAGATCAGCATGGAAAACCAAGTAGTAACTCTGTTACAGAAATGTCATTGAAACAAACAAGAATAGAGAATAAAAAAAATAAACATGGTTGTGCTGAAGGTAAATATAGAGAACCAACCAAACCAAAGGACTGAGGAGACAGAGATGGAGACTCTTTGTTCTACACCAGTTTTTCTTCTGAATACACGAGTTACACAGTGTTTGTTTCCTCCTGTCCAGAAGAATGGAAATATCCTTTGTCTTTGGCACTGATGTTCTGTAACTTACATACTGTTAAGAATGTAATGAAGCCATATGGGAAAAATAACCATACATCTATCAAGGCTGATGTTTTAACAGACACTGAAACACATGAATCAGTTTCTTGTTTACCTACAGCTTTGCCGCTCAGCTGCAGAGCCCCACATTTACACAGGTGATTTAAGCTCTTTACACTGTAAATGTTAACGTGTTTCACAATTTTGCAATTTGGAACTTCAGCCTCTAGGGAAATAACTGAATTCTAGCTATTAAAGAAAAAGTTTAAAATCACTATCAGTTGGGGGTTTTTTAGAATCTTCTTCAAACATGACATTTGTGAAATCAACATTCTGTATCCTACTGTAATGAAACTATAGTAATTAGTCCAGAACAAAAAAAATAAATTCTCTTTTCTAACATGCTGTATAAACATATAAAAGGAAAAGAGAATAGTGGAAAAAGTACACAGGTGTTAGGGTTTTTTTTTTTATTTTTGAGAAAATACTTCTGAGTTGGGTCAGTGGCACATGTTCTTTTGTCAGCATCACTAAAAATAAAAACATTTGCAGGGTTGAGAAGTTTAATTTGGTAACTAATGTGAATAACTAAGGAATTGGAGGACTCTGAAAATATGCAGCCCCTTCCTTTTGAATAGGTGCATGCATCAATTCTAGTTACAGAAATGATTACCAGCACACACACAAAAGAAAAAAAAACACCAACCAACCTTTAGACTTAGTGAGACTTTTATTGCATTTTACACAGGTGGACTTTCTGTGACTTCTTTCAGAATGAAGACACTGAAAACTATTCATGCCCTCAGCTAATTCAAGTTGTATGGTGCCAGGGTGTTTTTTATAGGTATGTAGGAAATCACATGTGTCATCTTTGGAAGACTTTATTTGTATGGGAATTAAGCTTTAAGATGAAAAGTTTTACTTTGTCCATTTACCACTCTTTGAAAAATTGAAGACAATCTTCATGTAAGAGTCTCTTCATTTCTCCTGTTTGTCATTGGACTTCAGATTTTCTAGTACAGTGTATTTCCAGGTCTGAATCTGAAACTATGTTTAAGGATTCTAAAGAAATGATTTGATTTCTTAAAGGTTTATTGGACAGCTGGAGTTCCCTCAGATTTCACTGACAATCATGGTACTTGGTTTCTTTGCAAATTACTTAGTGCTCCTTTTGGTACTGATGATTTAATGCTTTAGAAATGTTTGTCTTGGTGACCTCCATAATTCACATGTTGTAGGCAGTTCAACTGTGGATTTTCCTGGCTAGTCACCTTGTCCATATGGTTAAAAAAAAAGACTTTTTTCTTTTAAATGCTCTTTCAAATTGAAATGGTTATAATTGCTATCAGCATCTAAGAGTCTTTGATAAAAGCATCATTGCTGTTGAAACTTTTAATCCTTTTGCCCAGTGTTCTTCATTTTTCTTAGTGTAATTCCTAAATTTTCATCTCATCTGAACAAAATGTTTGCAGCACTTCAGAGCTTTTTTTCTCAGAAACCTCTTTTCTTTGAAAGTATGGTGAGTAGCCACACTTAACTCTTTTGTCCCACCTCCTAAGTCCAGGCATCTAACCACAGAGTTGGGTCATTAAGTGGGTTTTAGGCTCGAAGATAGCATATGATCACAGATAAAAGACCATTGACATTAATGAGAAACACACAGCTGTAGTGTGGTTTTGAGCTTCAGATTGTTCAGGAATCATTCAGTCTGACAGTTTTCTGTGTACACTAGGTAGGGCTGGTCTACTAAGAAACTTGGTTATTCTCTTCAGAATCACTGTATTTTGTGGTCAGTGATATGAGCAGCTCTTGTGAGATGTTTACCTCAACACACAAAAAAACTTTGATTAGCTTATTTAAATCCTTCCCCTCATGCACACATGCAGAGAAACAGCCCTGGTAATGCTCATCTTCTGTGTTAAAAGAAATTGTTGGTACATTTCACTCTTTATGAAATTTTTTTCACATGAGAGTTGCTGAAAATATGTTTCTGCTTATTGCTTTCTTCAAGTGTACTAACTTGTTTTGCTTGTCTAGTGAAACAGCATTTTAAATACCTGTTAAAAATTATGTTATTTTTCTTAGATTTATCCATGGTAGGACTAACATCACAGAAATTTATCCTGGTGATGACTCATTTTTCAAGTCAGAGGGAGCATTTTTTGGAGAATATTTCATACATTATGCAGTCCAAAAAGGAACAAAAAAGGAATAAAGCTATTTTAAAGTATATTCCAAATCCCTTCAACTTAGCACCTTTCTTAGTTTTAATACATTTGGCTATGCAGTCTGTAGTGAATTATGCCTGTATCAAGCCATCGATCATACAAAAAAATGAGATTACTCCTTCTGCTTCAGAAGGAGTATTTTTGGAAATTACAGACACAATAAGGAAAATTTTATTCACTGTCACATTTATTTTATCAAACCCAAGAGTAAGATACTACTACTACCATTTGTCGCTAATTTAGAAGTTTAGTCTTTAAACTAACATATTGATTATTAATCTTTATGTATTTGGAAGTGTTTTCTACTGTATGGAGACAGAACCTAGAAGATACATTCTGGCTTTGCTACAAGACCAGCTGTTCAGTGCTGGAGAAAGGATTTTGCCTCTCTGTGTCTTCCTGTTGCTAAGTTTCCCCAGAGCAGAAATCCTCTCAAGTGCTTATGTGGTGCCTTGTATTTTTAAAGCAGAGTTAAGGATCAGCGTTGTACTCTTCAAACCCAGCCTTTAACTCATAGTCAGACGTTGTTACTCAGTAATGAACTACAGTCTACTCTGATAAGATAACTTCTTGGCCCTTACTGAGTGCAGAGAAGCTGAATATTTTTTTTTTTTTTTACTTTTTGAGGAGATAGTTGTTCGGGCGCAGATTTAAATGTGATTATAGTTTCATTCTGGGAGATTAGAAATTTCATGACTTGCAAGCTCTTAATGCTGTTTTCATGCTATGGTACCTGTAACTAATTCATCTTTCTGCTCTACAGCAGGTGGAAGAAAAAATGTATTCAGCGAACAGTCTTCCTCCTGATGTACCAGGAAATCCATACTCTATATCCTCCATTATTACTCAGGCAACCAAGTAACTTTACCTTTGTTACATTAATTCTTCTGACTTAGAAAGGACAGGAGTTAAAATTACATGTAACACTTATTATTACATTAAGTATAAAAATTAAAGGAATTTATATTAGCACTGAGGACATATGTAAACATAAAAAACGAAGCTCCTAACTGCCTAGAAGACATAATAAGAATGAAATGCTTAATATTTTGTTTGGGTTTTTTTCTCCTCAGAATATTTCATTATTGCTGCACGACAAAACTGTTATTAAGTCATAACTATCATCTCTGCTGCTGGAAAGTGGTATGTAGCTGAAAATTTATTAATCTTTCAGTGTTATAGGGAAGATTATACATACTATAGGGAATAGGACTAAATCTGGAGGAATGAATGTTGAGTGTATTCTCACAGATCAGAAGGTAGATATTTGGGAACCAAAAGCATGCACTGTAAAATTACATTTATGAAGCAGAAAGAAACTGCATGATGAAGAGAGCTGGTTGTAATTGGGGAAAAACAAGTGAATTGAAAATCTGGGCCATATGCAAACAGCTATAGTGATGTAAGTAATCTTTCCTCAAGTTTTTGATGTATTTGTTTGGTTCTAGGTGCCTGAGACAGATGGATGAGAAATGTTGCTAGTTTTGCTGTATGAAAAGATTATTCCCAACATGGGAAGACTCGTTGTGTACTCAGATCATAAAGTCCATGCTGCTTTTTGGGATGGGTTGACCCTGAATGTGGTTTGGGATTTCAGCTCCTCCTCTAGTGAGATCCAGGTAACTCATAAGTTAGAGGAAGGACTATTCTTAAAACTTTTAATTGAAAAAGTGTTACTAAGAAATCAATGAGAAAATGAAGCAAAAGTTCTGATGACTATAAAATACAAAAATTAAAAAGAATTGAAAATTCTACAGGTTCGGAGACATTTCTATGCACTGTTAGAAGTAATTTATTCTTGAATAGCACAAAGCAAGTTTTGGAGCTATGCTAAGGCCTTTTTCCCCTGCATTTGTCATAGCAGACTATACCACAGAATCACAGAATCAGTTAGGTTGGAAAAGACCTCCGAGATCGAGTCCAACCTGTAACCAAGCACCACCTTGTCAACTGGACCATGGCACTGAGTGCCGCATCCATTCTTTTCTTAAATACCTCCAGGGACAGTGACTGCACCATCTCCCTGGGCAACCCGTTCCAATACCTAATCATATTCTGTATAGAACTTCTTCCTAATGTCTGACCTAAACCTCCCCTGGCACAGCTTAAGACTGTGTGCCAGATTCTATCCTTAGCAAAGCATAAACTTATAAGTGTTTGAACTGGATTGTTCATAGATACTTAATTCTTAGGTTGGCAAATTGTACTTGCTTTTTCGTCTTCAGACTGCAGCAGAAAATTAATACTTGTAATGTTTTTTTCTTTTAAGGTAAATGAAGATATAGGCTGGTGTAAGTTAACTACTCCTGATGGGGTAGAGCAGTTAATAAGTCATCCTGGAGTCTATGAAAGGTATAAACAGTTTAAGCAATTTAAATGTACAAATCCATTTAAATGAACAAGCAGTATTTACTGCCAGTATACTGGGAGGGCTGAACCAAACACATAATGATAAAAGCTCCATCTTACGTCTGGCAAAGATTCAGGACCTGTATGACCCAGGGCCACTGCATGCTTGATTACATCATAATTGTTACTGCAATGTCTTTTTAGAAAAATAACTAGGGCTGCAACTTGGCATTTCCCTCAGTGGATAAGAAGAAACCCCAATGTCCTATGTAGAGCTGGTACATAAAACTGGACAGCACTTTATCCAATTTTTGCATTATTACAGATAATGACCTCTGCCTGCAGATTACTTTCTGTAATCTCCTTGCTCGAATTACAGCCTATTATGGGTATCATCAGAAGCTTACTGTGCTGCATTTCAGCAAGCAGATATTCACAAACAAAAATAACCACTTGCACACTATTCATCACAAATTATAACAGCTTTATTATAGTTTTCTGTAACAGCATAAATCTAAATATGAAGGACATTCTGGACAAAAAATATGAATCAAAAAATGACAAGGCAAACTAGAGAAAAAGCTAGATTTTGAATCATAGCTTTTTCTTTCAGATCCAAATGTATTGCTTAACACCTTCAGTTTTTTGCTTAAATTAATAGTTTCTTTTTCATATAAATAACTGCTTTTTTGAATTTTCATATTAACATAGGTACATCAGAACAGCAATAGAATGGTGCAGAAGTTTGAGTGAAAGGAAAGAGATTGCTGAATATACTGCACACTCTGTAACTAAAGAAAACTGGTATTCATCATTGTCCTAAAAGATTGACTATAAATAATGTTGAAAACAAAACTCAAAAATATTATAAACTGTGAATTTTATAATTGCACTTCCTAATAGTCAAAAAGACCATTTATTTTGTATGGTTTTATATTTTTGATTCAGTTTTTGAAATGTTAGGTGGGTTCCAGGTGGACGTTGTTTCATTGAGCCTGTCTTACGTAAATATCAGAATTATGGTGACTTGGCTAAAGGAGGATTAATGTTACAGAGATAGTATCTTGCAAGGCAAAAAGGAGAAACTAGACTAAGGAAGGTGTCTTTTAACAGAACATCAAGCAATTCAAAACAGAATTTTGAACTTAGCAGTTGGATCTCTTGCTGATGTATTTGCCCTTCTTAATACGTACTACTGACCAGAAGTCTACTGACATAACATGCAAACACATTTGGGTATTAAAAATGTGTTAATTGACATCAATTACACTTGTACTTGTTACTTAAATTATAGCAGATTCAGCTGATACATTTTATAGCTGATGAAATGAAAATTGTATCTATATTTATAGATACATAGAGCAAGAGACTATTCTTAGAGCAGAGCCTTGATTTTTGGGAACACAAATGATTAATAAATGTCAGCCGTTGAATAGTGGTATGAAAGACAGAAATAAAGCATTCATTTTTCACTTGGATTTTGCTGATCCAACTTTCAGTATTGCTGGAAACTGTTAAATAAAATCTGAAATATAAAATGTCTTTGAGAACCTTTTATTATACTAAATAGTTTAATAACCTTTATTTTTTTGGACAGGTCTGCTGATGCTGAGCTTGAAAAAATACAGAGATTTAATTGTGTCTTTTTGAAAGCTGTAAAGATTTTTCACTTTTATATTCTGCTGTTCATCTGTATGTTCAAATATTCACTTTACATCATCAAAGGCTCTCTATCCTGTTCCTGCTTTCTTTTACTCCCTTACTCACTTCTTAAAATTACCTCTTTTTCTTATTTATCATTTTTGTTTTATCACTTATCTTGTCCAACTTCTACATTACAGCACCAAAATAAAAAAGTCACTGAAAAACAAAGCCCTTTAATGGTTGTTGCGTCAGTTTTGCTAAGAGTCATCTGCTGATCTGTTCTTGAAAGACAGAGAAGGCAGTTGCCTTGGGGCTTGTTGCTGCAGTACAGTATCTTTCTGTTTATCAGCTACCTTAGTATTGTTTTATTGTGTTCAGCCAGCTCAAAATGTGCACTGTCCTGAATCTGCTTAAAGCCACTCTATAATTGTCTTTAAACCATAGTACAATTCAATTAGTGTGAAAAGTGCACACTGTTAAACTGCAGTGTAACATTGGTTTTCTTTTTAAAGTAACTCCTGGAAAAATTGAAGTCTAAAAGACATTTTTATATAAATGTTATAGACATTTTAAGTAATATACCCTCTTTATTTTTTGGCTATATGTAATTATCATGCTACAAAATGTGAGACTTTGTAATGCAGAATGATAAATACAGACATGCAGAATTATTTTTCTCATTAGGAGGAAGAGTTTGATCTTTTTCCTTAACAAAGTAACACTAGTTTTATTAGACAGTAGCAATGTTCTGGAAAGGAAAAATGCTGCAAAATCCAATCAGTCTGGTATTGCTATCAGAAAAAATGAAAGCAGGAGTGAATCAAAAGAACTCAGTGTCGGGTGTGTCTTGAAAGCTTTGGAGAAAACTTCTAAAGTCATTCAGGATATTGAATCTCTGCTTGCAGCTTCTGGGAAGTGAAGCCTCATAGCAGATGAAGACCTGTGTTCCGTGTCCTCATGGGAGCTGTCCCAGCTGTGTCTGAGGGAGCTCTGAGGGACGACAGGAAGGAAGGCTGAAGGCACAGGTTCAAGATGCCATTGTAACACCCGTGAAGTCTGTAAGCTGCCACTGTAATGTCAGTAACAGTGTCAGTGGTGTATTTGGTATAGACAAAGAGAACTGGTGAAATAGTAGAGCACAGTATAAATACATCATGGTTGACCTGACCGCGCTGCTTTTAAATGTATGAAGTTGTGTTTGAATCAATTGATTTTATAGAACAACTTAGTGAACTGCTGAACTGACTAGAATAGGGATAGGCAGTTTTAACTGTAAAAACGTGCTTTTATTCAGAAGCTTACACCAAGAAGTCCAATAAAATGTTTCCCAAATGCTTTATATTCTCTTTTTTTTTAGTAAATAAATAATTTCTATCAGGGCAGAAGACGCTTTTCTCCCAGCGCTATAACGAACCATAGCACGAACACCCAAACACTATTTTTAACCCCCACTAGGAAAAACTTCTCCCTCATAACCGGGGCGGGGCGGGCATGGGAGGAGACAAGGCTGATGGGGGTCCCAGGCTGCTCCGCGGCCACGCATGCTTCCTAACGCGCTTCCTACTCCGCTCCTGCTGGGATCGGAGCGGCCGGGACGCCTTCCCGTCATGGGGTGAGGGGGCGGATGGCGGCGGCCGCGGCCGCGCTCCAGGTGGGATCCGGGGCGGGCTGGGCACGGGCGGCGGCGGCTCCCAGTCCCGTCACCCCTCGGGGGCTCCGGGCTCCCCTCACACTCCGGATTTTCAGGTTAATTTCCTGCTGGGTTAAATTTAGTTAATTTCTCAGCATCTTGGTAAATCCTACGGGTTCCTTCTGGGCTTTTGTCCGTTCCCGCCCTCCAGCCCCAATAATGGATTATAATTATTTGACCCAAAAATACTTGCATTGCCAGATCTTCATAAATTGTCTTAGGCTGGGATCTCCTTTTCCATGAATTAATATGCTTAAGGTTTGAGCTGGTGTCTTAAATGGTTATTCTACATCATGCAGTTTTTAATATAAATTAACATCCAATATCGAATATTAGAGTTTTTAGGAGATAATAGAGTTTTAAGGGACTACATTCTTTTGACTTCTTGCATAAAGTCCAAATAATTCTGCTGGTTGACATGGTGGTGTTCGGTCACAGGTTGGACTCAGTGGCCCCAGAGGTCTTTTCCAACCTAATTGATTCTGTGATTCTGTCATTTTATGCATTACGTTTTCCCATACCTGATAACATCTTGCAAAACTGGAGAAAAAATTTGGGAGAGCAGTATTTCTAAGTGATAATTTTAACCATTGGAATTTTGTTTTGCTCATACAGCATGAGTTGAAAGGCCTCTTAGTGTCATCTCTTTTCCCCCAATGCATATTTACAGTTTTGATGTAAATATCTTGTGTCAGTAATTTAAAGTGTTAACTGTGCATTTTTTAAAGTATTATTGGTAACTTCCTTAAATTACATTAAACATATCAGCAAAATTGCATTTTGAGGGCATAGGCAGAGATTATGTATAATGCTTTATCTCATATAAAAATTACACGAGAAATCACAACTCTAGGCAGTGTTACTCTGTCAGCTTTTGTGTTTTATGTAGAACCAACATAAAGCTTCCCCTCAGCATGTTAACTGGACTGACCACCCAGTTTAAGCATTCTTGTGTGAATTATTTCCCAACTTTATGGTTTAACAGGAATGTATATTCCACCAATATGCTTTCTGAGATTTATAGGATAGAAAAACATATGATACTTTATTGTGATATTTTGTAAACAGCTTGGAAATCATAATTTTTCGGACAAAAAAAAGTTTCTAGTTCTACGTTAAATTTATCATTTCAGAAAAAAAGTGTTTCTAGGTTTACATTAAATTTATCATTTTAGAGATTATTTTGGTTGAACAGAGTTTTGCCTTTTCTAGTCTGATTTCACTCTTGATTTGCAGAATATTTATAGTTAATGTCGTTGTGCCTGGGAATGGGACTTGATTTTTACACATATTTTTGTCTAAAAAGATGGTAGAAATAGGCTGTTTAAAAACATTTGGACATGGCTCTTCACTGAGGTCAACCTGAAGCCAGTTTTGCATCCTGTTTTTCATTCTGTATGAAAGAAACCCATTCACATACAATAGTTCTTGTCCAGTTGGCATTATTACCTTTATTTCATGATACATAATTCTCAAATCATACTCACTGTGGATTTTTAAAGTCTGTAGTGTTACTTGTCTTGTGTACTTTATGCACATGGTAATACTATCCATAGCAAAACAGTGTAAGTCTAACACCAAATTGACACAGATTTCTGTTGCTGTTTCAATCTCTAGGTCTCTGTTTATCTATTCCAAGGCCACTTGGTAACGGGGTGAAATTAAAAAATAGATCCCCGATTGTGACTCATAAATGTTTCATTAGGTGGGAATCTTTCAGGCACAAGAAGGGATCTGCTAAAATAGATTGCTTTATATTTTTGAAAGGCAGTTACTTAAAAGACTGGAAGTGTTCTTTTCTGAGTTTACCACTTTGGGGTTTATTATCTTTTCATTATTATTGTGTTCTGTCTTTATGTGTGCTCTTCTCTTGTTTTATGGTCTTTTTTTCCTGCTTTCTTTAACAGCAATTCAGAGCCCTAGCTGGAAGTTGCTTTTAGCTCAATTATATTTGTTCATGAATTAATTAAATATATGTTTATCCTTTCTGGGTTTTTTTACTATTGTTCAGATTTCATGTGTGTTTTGTAAAACGTTTGAAGAGCTTTGTGTAGTATCAGTCTTACTGCTGCCTTGTTTGTGTTATTTAGGATGGAACAAATGGTGTTTGGTATTTCCTGCTTTGGATTGGACAGACTGGATTCAGAAAGCACAGAGGCTCAACTCTGAGGCAGAGACCACATCTGCTACTGGAATAAGGCACCTGCAGTGGAAAAAAATATGTCCTCCTAGTCCCAGGATAAGTTTGATTTTGAATACTGGTGTGCTTTTTAAAGGTATGTTGCTGCATCACCTCTGCACAGATTGGATTCTTACATAGACTATATGGTAATTTTAAGTGAAATCCAATCTGACATGATGGTTATATAGAAGAAACATTTGTGAGGAGATCACCATTTTTTCTTTAAAATGGAAGTTATTCAGAAATGTACTGTTAAGTCATCCACCAGAAAATGGCACTTAGAGTGTTTCAGGAAATATTTTGTGTTTACATGTTCATTCACAAGAGGCACAGTCATGGTTAACAGATGCTAAACTTGACCTACTTTTTTCATCTCTGTACAAAGGCTATATATTATTCATGCTTTCTTCTCTTTTTTTAATGTTTTCCACAGAAATGATTCAGCAGGCTTTTTTTTCCTATAAAGATGCCAGCAGTCATGTCTTGCAGATAATTCTACAATAAGCAGGCATGGAAATAATCTGGAAGAAACATCTTATATTTTCCGAGACTTACAATAAATGATATGTTTAAAATCATAAACTGTTACGTGTCAACGTTGTTATTCGTTTTCAGAGGAATTCTAATACACTCACAAAAAGTACCTTTAGAATAAAAGTTTACCTAATAGAACTATATGAAGACAGAGTATCAAGGTTTAATGTAGCGCACAAAAATGGCAAATTCGTGGGAAGAATCCATTTTTAGATAGGATATAGGTTTCAAAACTGTGGTCTATCCCTATGGCTCCCCAAAAAGACTAGCATAGCAGTTAGAACAGGTAGAATTGGTACTGTCCTTCAAAGACAGCTTTTCAGCATGTTTAACGTAACAAAGCTAGGGAATACTTCATTAACATGAGGACTTTTTTTTCAAAAGTGTTCTTTTTAATGTTATCACGTAAATGAGTATTGTATCTTTGTAATCCAGGTATCCTATAATTGTTTGGGAGGAATGGGATGGAGATCTTTAAGATCTTTAATTATTTTTGGAATTTCTTTTGAGGTGTTAATTACTTAAGGTAAGTAATTATTCCCAAGAAATCACTTCTTATCAGAGGGTTTCATAAAACATATGTTCATAGAACATAAATAGGTTCTAAGAACTTCAAAATTATTATTAATGTAAATAACAACACCATTATTTTCAAACAGCAACTTTTGAATAGTAAAATGACTGAGATTAGTTAATTTGCTTTTCTTTTTCTCTGCAAAAAGAGGAGTTATGAAGGTAATGTGGCAGACAACAGTCCTAAAACTAACAGCAGAATTTGCTGCTGGAGAACATACTGAGGAAAAGCATATGTAGTTTTCCTCTGTAAGCACTCAGTTTTGGTTACTTTGGTTGACTGAATGGTTGTTGTATTTTTGTGTTTATGATAAATAGTGAAGATATTTAAGTGGTTCTGGTTTTCTTAAGGCTTATTCTACGTCCCAGTCTCTAAACTGAACAAGGAGTTGCTTAGGGAAGTGTACCAGGGGGATAATACATATGTTTGCAAAATATGTAAATTAAAATAGTGGTTTGGATTATAGATTAAAAACTCAGTTTTAACAGTTGTCACATAGAGAGATCTGGGATTTTTGAGCATCAGTCCTAGGAATCCTCCATATTGAGTAATCTTTTGTTGTTACATTGTAAAGTATTTAATTCAATTAATGTCATGTATTTAAGACCAGAAGGAGTCTTGAAATGTATTATCATAGACGTGTTTCAAATTACTTTGTAAAATTTAATCTTTCAGTAAGTGCAGTTAGAACTTTCCATGTTATTTGTGCTCATTCTAATTAAAACAGGACAAGTGTTTTAATTCAGAGCTGTGGTGTTCAAGTCAACAAATTAACTGAAACTAAAAATTCCCTAGGAATATTAAGTGCAAAGGTTGAATTTGGGGTTTTTTTATGCTCAATTCTAGTTGTGACAAATGCTTTGTGCTAATGGATTTTTTCTTTTATAATTTTCTTTCTGATCTCTGACATTTCCAGAACAAGTGACAATACAAAGGACAATGCACAGTGTGTATCCTGATGACATTTGGTGTGCTGTGACATGGCTTTTGTCATGGCATCTGAGACTGAAAAGGCCCACGCTCTTCTCCAGACTTTCAGCACAGCTTCAGTTATTTCCAGTCTAGGTTTGGGGATATTCTGCTTCATAGCAGACAGACTTCTGCAGTTTTCCTTCATTCAGCAAAATGAGTGGCTCCAAGCCTTCTCCGATAATGCAGTGCATGGTATACTGGGAATGTGGTCCTGGGCCATAGTGATTGGACTCAGGAAGAAAAGTGACTTCACTGAGGTCACTCTGGCTGGCTTCCTCGCCTCTGTCATTGATGTGGACCACTTCTTTCTTGCTGGATCCCTCTCTTTAAGGGTAAGTCAATAGATCAGTAATTTATTTCTTTTATTTCTTCATCACTGCTTACTTTATTGTCCTAAACACTAAAGTTAGATATATGGAATTATATGCAGGTTTTATGATTTTAAAAGCCATAAAAATATTCTACTGTTAGGTTTCTGCTATTTAGAAAAAGAGTTCTGAAAGCTGTACATGCTATCCTATGTGTATCATGTAGTTGCTTTGTTAGCCAAGTTAAAAAGTTAAGTGTTGCCTTGAACTCTTTTGTGTATAAAGTGGATTATTTCATTTCTGTTTACAGTAAGGGTTAGAAATATCTGAAATGTGAGGCAGAACTATCTAAAAAGTAGATGATAGAGCTGCTGTTTGATTTCATTCAGTCTTTCTGAGTAATATGTTTGCATCGCATACACAGTCACCATCACAGTGAAAATGTGTTCCCTCCCAGGAACTTCCTGTGTTTCAGTCCATTCCCATTGCCTCTTGCTCTGTCAGTGGGTACCGGGAGCCTGGCTCTGTTCTCTTTATGCCCACTCTTCAGCTTGGTTGATTAATGGATCCTATAATGTTAACATTATGGAATAGAATTTAAACGCCTTAATTATTCTCATGTTTATTTTCTTGTTTTAAAATCAGTAAATGCAAGTAATGAATGACTGGCTATTAGAAGGTATTACTGAAATTGTACTGCTGCTTCTTGCATTTGAAATGATTACCAGTATTTTTTTCTTAATTGTGAACACTAGATGTCTCTCTTCACCAATGTCTGTTTGGAAAGTTGAGTATTGAACTGTATCATGGAATTGGGAGGTGGCCTGTCTCTTTGCTGCTTTCAGTGAGGCAAGGTTAAATATTCTTACACTTTCCATGATGGAGAACGTTTGTGTATCTGAAACACAGTAAATTATTGTAATTTCTTGACTTAATTTGTTCCTGTGTTGTTTCAATTCCCAAGCAGCTAGCAATTCATTTTCTAATCCAGGCTACCGTTGTTGACATTTAGATCTTGTTTTCTTATTCTTTAAGGTTTTTCTGCAAAAGACAGCTAATTTCTCTGCTCTCCTCAAAAATGTTTTTCACGTCAGAAACACACCATGTGGACAGTAGAATCATAGCCCTTTCAGTAGCCAAATTTATTTAGCTGAGGTAAGGAAAAAACAAGAAGTCCAAAGGGTTTTTCAAAGTAATTTGCCTACAAACTCCTTCCTTTTCCATATGTTTACTGGGCTAATAAAAGATGTTTAAAAAAAAATGTAAAAAACTGTAAAACATATCCAGGGTAGGTCCCTTGACTCTTAGAGCAGTAACAGAATTACAACTTGCAAAGCCATTATGCTTTACAAAAACTCTCTTCTCAATTAAAATAAATTTCAAAAAAAATTGTACAGGGCTGGATTTATGTTTTCTAAACCACATACTGCTTTTCTCCTCTCCTCCGGATTGCCTTTTGCCTGAATTATCTTCAAGGTCCTGTCCCAAACCATGAGTAGTGTTTTAGGTGAGACTTCATATGAGCCAAATAGCATAGATTAATTCCTTTCAGTGGCACACAGATACAACACTTTTGTCTTTTTAAAAAGGAAAAAAAATCACCTGTTACAAGTTTTGCGTCTTCTTGCAGTGCCATCAGTCTCTTTGGTTTGTGATGTAATGTAATCCCCATAAACTTTTCTGCAGTGTGCTGTCTGGCAAGCTAGATCTGATGTAATGTGTGATTTTTCTTTCCTCAGTTTAATATGATGCACCTCTCAGTTTCATGTCATAATTTCAGGCTAGTTCCTATGTAATTTATTACTTCATGGGATACTTTTTTACTATGTATTTGTTAGTTACAGTCTCATTCTTCGTCTTTAAATTGCAGGATTGACAGTAATTGATTTATGACACTACAATGTTTACTGCTTATGCAACACATTACTAATCAATTAAGAAGTCTAAATGACTAACCACACCACTATTACTAATTTGTAACAATAGTACTTTTCACATTACTCTACACAATTACCTATAAAGCTCTTTATCATCACTTTTAAATCTGATGACAGATTAACTTCTTTAAGTAACCTTTCTGTGCAGCGCAAGGCAGTATTGCCTTCTGCCTCCACTTGCTACCTTCACAGTACTCCAGTCACCTACTTCTGTTCCTGCTGACGCAGCTCACTACTTGGATTGTGTGGCCATTGGTCTGTTTTTCATGGCCATCATTATTTTTCTGGATTATTCAGCTAAATAGTCACCTGTAGTATTTATATGTTTGCTTTAATAAATACTTGTGTACCAAGTACCATGTGATCTGCCCTTTTTCCCACATTATTTTTGCAACAAGTATGAAATCTACAAGAACTTCACTACTTGGAATTTGTAGTTTTTTGTGTTCCATGTACTTTGTACTGTGTGCAGGAGTGTAGAAGGATCGAGGAATAGCTGTTTGAAGAATCTGTTTCATTGACTAACCCTAAAGGTGATAGGTACTGCAGCCTGTCATCAGTCAGGATTGCTGATACAGAATGAGAGGCTGCTCCCAGTGTCCCCCAGGATTATAGCCCAGATACTCATGTTGCAGAACAGACTTGCAGAAATTGCTGTATTGCTACTGAAGACTCTGAAAGTGTAGAAAATGCAGTTGGTGGCAAACAGGATTGTACCAGCAAATATACATAACACAGCTGGTTAATGTGCCACTGCTGACCAACCTGGGCTGCACAGGGGCATTTCTGGAACTGGAGAATAAGCTTTGCACAAACACAAATAATATAGTGTTGAATATGACACTGTATTGTTCACATTATTACTATAATATAACTATATATGTTACACTGAATATGTTACTATAAAATAAGGTCTTCAGGCTTGGGAAGCGTCATAGGATATGCCTGAGGGAGCCTGTGTGGTGACTTAACATCCATGGTGTTACAGTTCTCCTGCGTGTGATTACTGTCTCCTGTCTCCAGCTGCTCATTGCAGTGCGTGAGAGGGGCTGGAGGAGCAGGAACTTCCAGATCATCTTGCACCTGATTGAACATGTAGGTTCATTTCATGGAAAAGGTCATTTGTGAATAAATTCTGTTTGCAACATTTTTCAGGCAGTTTAAGGCAGAAAATTGTGCTAACTTAAATTAATTTTTTTTAAAGATCTGTTGATTTCTAAATGCAAACAAATCTGCCTGTTAGGAGAGTGTAACTGCTTATATTGCCAAACAGAACTACCTATCTGTCTCTTGGGCTTGGCAACTCAAGGATGTAAGTGTTCCTCTAGTCACAGAATGTAAAACTGGAAACAGACTATTCTGAGCAACTGTTGCTGGGCACAGCATTTCAGAAGCCTAATAATTGTACTGCTATTATAAAATAGGGCTTTGTCTTGCTCAAATTGAACACACAGGTGGCTGTATGAACAACCCTGCCCTCTAAAATTTGTAGGAAAAAAATTTAAGCCTCACCTTCCGAAAACTGGATAAAGATTGGCACCAATACTGCTAAACTGGGTATGTAAGTAACATTAAAAATATCCTTACTTACCGTGTTGCTATTGGTACCTAACATTAACAGGGCAGAGGAAAAAGACTAATTTAGACTTTGCTACTGATTTTTTCAAAGTGCAGAAATAAAGATCAGTCAATAGGCTTGTCTCAGTCTGAAGAGACTGGAATGTTTGCTAAAGAGGATGAGGTATGAGATAGACCAAACTTCTCTCTCTCAGCAATTGTAAGTTTAAAATTAAGGTGCTTTAATCGAGGAAGTGCGGAAAAAAACAGAAGAAATAACAACCCTTTATTAAAAGATATATGTATATTGGCAAGAACAGTAACAGAACATAAAAACAACTGAACAATGGTCCTGTACCCAGAAGTTCCCTTCAAACAAAAGAAAAAATCTGAATACTTCTCTGTCTTTTAGCGCAGTTCTAATCACGGTCGGCAGGGGGCGCTGTTGGGTCGCTGGAGGTGCAGAGCCTGCAGTTCCCTGTGGTGACCTGCAGGGGGCGCTGTTGGGCTCTGGCGGTCACCACGCGAGGAGGGGGTCTGGGGGGTGGTCTCGGATTGCAGGAGAAGCCGAAAAGGAAAACGGAGACCCTTCCCCCAATGGGAGAAGGGCAGAGGGAAAGCAGTCCACCCCCAACGGGACTCACTGTTGTTCTGAGATGACGGTGTTCCAAGGCTCTCCCCTTCTCTCCCAGCAAGCACAGACCTCTCCGATGAAAACCCAGTAGGTCCCAGCTGGAGTCACGAGGCAGTGGCGGCGCAAGGCCGGTGGTCAGGCCTCACCAGGACGAAAAGAAAACCAGAAAGACTGGCTCCCAGGCTTTTCCTCCAGAAATGCCCGGACACAGTCCCTTTCTCGGCCGTCAGCCCCTCTCCTCTCTGGGAAGAGCCAGCCACCCCCAGCCTCTGATGGGCCATTAGCTAGGAATGTGGCTTGGCCAGCTAGGTTCTTTTGTAAGGCTAATTGATCCCCTTCCCCCTTCCCTATTCGAACTCTGTTTCTCTTACAGGGGAGCAGGGGAAGGAAAAACTTCCACTCTTGAATTTACGACTTATAACAAGGCTATCTGCCAAAATGTATCACTATCCAGGTTTTTTCAAAATTAGGCTAGTATGGACTTTTGAGGTTCTTGTTCACAGTGGGAAAAATCTGACTCTTTGCAGGGCAGGTGATAAACAATTTCACCATTGCAAGATTTTTCTGTTTTAATCCGTGAACAATCTGCTTGTGTGAAACAGAAATTAAGTTGTAGAAAACACGCCTTTTGAACCAACTTAAAGGAGTTGGGTCCATAACATTAGAGTTGAAAATGGTTGAGACAGTTTGTGAGACTTTTAATCCCATCACCTGAATGTGAGTCAGGGACAAGCATGTGGTGGGAAGCTAATAGGGCAAAGCTTTCTGCAGGGTTTGTATTGTTGGCTTCTGTTTAAAGCAGAGGCTGTTATAATCCAAGGTAGTCCATAATTTCCCATCTCTGTACTACTTAGCTACAGCTACATCAAAGTTTCCTTTACAGAGAAGACAGGGTTCCAAGCAGTTGTCTAAATTGTGCATGAAGGCTTGATGAAGCTGTTCCAGAGTCCCACTGCCAGGTACTCCTGCTGTTGAACTCTGCAACGATTAAACACAACCAAAGACCGAACAGGTTAGCAATGCTCTGCTTTCTGCATTAGTTACAGTGAGGGATTGTTCAATACAACAGTGAGATACACTGTCAAGTTACATCTCTGGTGCCTTTTACAGTCCTTCCAAATGTTCACCAGTATCTGCACCTGTATAGATCTTTTAGTAATGTGCTATTGCTTCTCCTGTGCTTACAGAAAAATGAATCTACTTATTTGTCACTTATTTGTCAATAGTATCTTTAAAGATATTATTACATTTTTTTTACAGTGTTTGAATTTGTGGCAGTGGTTCTAGCTGCTGCTAGTAAGTACATCCACAGGATATTTTCTGAAATATGTACATTAAATTTACATTATCACTTCTTAAAATGGCTAAATCAAATCTCACTAGCTAGATTAAAAATAAATATAAGGCTTTCAATTAAGTTAATGTTAAACAAATTGTTGATACAAAAAAAAACAGTCACAAATGTTTCAAATGTGGGCTTCTGAACTTTGTTTTGCCTGTCCAGGAAGAAGACTGTCTCAAGGCAATCAAAATACATGTGACTTTGATCCCATTTTTATTGTACTGAAAATTACTGTTCTGTTTTAAACATTGTGCAACTGAAACAACTTTGCAGGTGCTAACTGTAGTAAAATACAAAATGGATTTTGAAAATAAATGCCATTAAACCATATGATTTATTTCAAGTAAAGCATATTAAATATTTCAAGTGTATTGGTTGCTTGTTTTCCTTTTAATTATCTTGAAATTAAATACAAATAGTCAGTGCAGCAGATTATACAAGTTCCTGTGCACCATATGACTGTATGACAAGTAGGATACCTCATCCCTCTCCCTCCTTGTGTTGCTGTTGATAATGGGTAGTAGGATGCATGATTCATATCATACAGTAGAGAGACAGGGGAGCACACAGCTCTCATGCATAAAATAGTCATATTGTTAGTTTTGATCACTGTAGTGAAAAGGAGTGGTTTTTCTTTGCACTTCCACTTAGTCACCTGACAGTACACCTGTAAACATCCATGAACCTTATTATACTTTTCTTTCCTGCAGGCTGCTCTGACTCTTCCACGGAGACCACTTCTTCATTGTTCTACCATGATTCCCGTTGTGGCTCTGACATTAAAGTTTATTATGCACCTTTTCAGGCTTAAGGACTCATGGTGCTTTCTTCCCTGGATGTTGTTCATATCCTGGACTTCTCATCATGTCCGTGACGGGATTCGTCATGGCCTCTGGATCTGCCCATTTGGAAAAACTCCTCCTTTGCCGTATTGGCTGTATGTGGCAATTACAGCATCTTTACCTCATCTGTGTTCATTCATCATGTATTTAACAGGCACTAGAGAATTAATGTCTATAAAACATGGAATCCACATTGATGTGTAAGAATGATGGCTTTTAAAGGCTGTTTGTATTATCTCTTGAAATAACCTGGCTGTCTATTATTGAAGGGGTTTCTTTCTGTTTCCTACACCTTCCCAAGTTAGGCATTTTAAGGTTGTGAAGCCAGTTACCCTTGTTGTCATACAACCTATTTAATGAATGGTGATAATTTTATATCTGTACATTTCCCTTGTTAAGCATGTGATCTCCCATGATAGCTCATGCATAGCTAGCTGATTTATAAAGTTCTTAGTCTCTCTCTGTAGTAATTGCGTTACTGTCATGCATTTTATTGTCATGGTGCCATTCTTCTGATCACCATTCACTTTGGATTTGTATTTTGCCTTTAGAGAATATATTTCAATCTAGATAGTATTTGTATAGCGCTTTAAAAATGTAAAGTACTATATAAATGCTAAGTGTTACTGGGGATTTAATAGTGTATGGTAGTTGTAAAAAAAATGTTAGCCTTTTGAATTTAATTATTTGTTAAGAGTCCCGCTGGACTCTTATATTGGACTGTTTTAAAAGAAACACTGTCTGTATTTCACACTGTGCAGCTGTCTATGCACCTCTTTGAACCCTGCTATCATGTAGAGTTTTAGTAAATTCTGTTCCTCTATAGTTGCTTGGTAGTAAATTTGCAGATAATTACTAGCTTCGTGGTTAGAAAAGAGAAGGCAGTTTGGTTATAGTATTATGATGTGCTGACCAAATTGTTTTTAATTTTTAAAAATACACTAATTATGAATACTATTGAATTTGAAACTAAGGAATTTTAGTAAGTATTTAAGGGTTGTGTGAAGGCAAACATTTATTATAGTAAAACATAAGCTTTAGGGAAGATAGAAGAAAATAAAAATTGCTCAAAATGTGTTTGCTTAAAGACATTACTGTCTTACTGTACCTGTAAATGGAATTTTGCATTAAGTGCAATATCATCCTCATAATCGTTAAATAAAATGCATTATTATTATTTTTATTTTTATTATTATTATTATTATTATACAGAAATAGAAATTTCCTCATAAATCAGTTCCTTGAGGAAAATGTTATTATGGTGCAGGTTTATGAAGTAGTATTTTGCATTGTGGACTATTCAGTGTTCATTTACAGAATTTCTCAGAAAAAGTCCCAAATTAAAAATTGTCTGGTCTTGTCTAACATGATAAGACTGTCTAGACTCTTGTGTAGTTTATGAAGTACAAGCCGAGAATGTCTATTACTAATTTTTAATATTTTTATTCATTGAACTCTATTGCCCATTAAAGAAATGGGACCTTAACTACTGCAGTTTGTGATGACTAGCTGTCAAAAGGGATTATTTTTGTGGAAGAGCATATATAGGGTAGCATGTGCTGACCTTAAGTTGCCAGGTTACCAAGGGGTGACAACGTTAGGTGCTGTGGCAATACTACATTTATGTTTGTAAATATATGTTAGTATAAAGTACAAAAAAAGCCCCCAAGCAAATTATTAATTGGGATGACTGGTTTAATCAGTACAAGAGACCTTCTGTGGCACTTTGCAGCACACTATGCTAATTATGGAAAATGTTTTACCCATTTAAAATGTGTCTTTCCACCAAAAGAATAGTCTCTGCACTGTTTGTTCTTCACGTTAGAAATGTATGCTAATGCGAACTTGTCTGACAGTACAGTTTAGCCTTTATTATAAAATGAATAAAAGGTTTCTTTCTTGGAACAAAGATTGGAAAAGCAGAACATTTCTTAAAGGGTTATCCTCATGCCATGGATTTCTGTCTCTTATAGTTTTCCAGAAACAACATAAGAAACGTCTTGCTTTAGAGCCCTCAGAGCAAGAACTGTCTTTTATCCAAAGGCATGATGGTTTACTAGAGAAGCACTGCTCATTTGTTTACTTCTGTCCTGTATTTTAAACTGCAGGCTATGAACGCCAGTAATGAATATATTTGGTGCAAGGAGTGAACACTGAAGTCCGTGTAGAAAATTTTCAATATTCTCGTTTCATGGTATTATATTTGTATAATTTTGTGCTTTATCCAGATTTGTTGCAAAGGGAAATGCATATAGGAGCAAAGTGGAGAATTTCACTTTCTCAATTTTAGACTGTAGCTCTAGCATTTTTGGTAACTATATGTCCACCAGTGGTCCTTAAGATTGGTACTGTACTGTTCTAGCTATTTTTAAGGATCAGTTAATGGGGATGTCTTCAGTAGTTTAAAACCACATATTTTCATTCTCTATATTTCTAGCTATTTTTGTGTGAGTTTTTACAATAATTGTTAGCTGTTTTTTCTGGTCATGTTCTTACACCAGTTCTACGACAGCAATGGGTGAACACCACTTGGAGATGTGTTAAGGAAAGTAGCAAGCACTTCTGATACATGACTTCTTTCCTTCCAAACAGACATGGCAGTCTCACACCTCAACCTGACATTCAGGCAACTGTAGCTGACATTGGCAACTTTTCAAAGTAAACAGAGATGTTGCATATATTGCTGTAGTTTGTACGTAGACAGAGTAGAGTACAAAGGAGAACTAAAAGTGTTTGTCTCACCTGTGTGTCACAGGCAGAGTGGGAGCTTCAGACAAAGTTTATTAGAAAGTCCCCCCCTCACTGAGTCAGGAGGCACAGAAGGGACCCTCTTGCTTTCTAAACTCCTTCTGAGAGAGGCGTCTAGGTGTGGCTGGATCCAGTCTTAGCCCTAGACTTTGCCAATGGTTTATGTCTAAAGGATTATACGTGTGGAATTGAACCTTAATACAGCTTTGTCCCACAGAATTAAGAATGGCAATATTTATATAAAAGTAAATTCTTTATTGTGATAATGATTAGACTAAAAGATCTTTACCAGAATTATTTACTACAGAGTATTGGTAGCTGTACAGTGCAGTGCAGTATTTTTGACGCAATATTGAAGTTATTATATTAAAGCAGTTCTACTGAAGCAATTATGTCAAAGCTAGCAAAAGCAATTATTAAGCAGAGATTGATGTTACTCAGCCATACCAACGACTGTGAGCAAATCTCGTTCTCTCAGTCTTGAGGAGTAACCTTGAGGGCCATCCCCACTCCAGGGAGGAATTTTCACACACACTCCAGAAAGAGGGATGTTACAAGGTCCTCAAATTAAAAAGTGGAAACTGGGCCATATGTTTCCAGGTCGGCTATGTCAGCTCAGCATCTTTCAGTCAGTTTATCAGTGGTATTACATGGTTGTCCTTTATCAGGTACTTTACGAGGTCTACCACAGCTTCATCTCACTATCAGGATGTTTAACTCTGGGACTGATGAGTCAGGCTAGTTTCAGCATTATTCCACACCAAAAGCAGCAGGACAGCCCCCTTCTCCATGCACCTGTAGCTTTGCAAAGAGGGCATTGTTGGAGTTGTTTTACCCCCATTCCAGGCAGAGCATCCTGCTACACCATGGCACCTGGGAGATACACCTGCCTGTTACAGGTGAATTGCTTACCAATTCCTTACTGGTATTTCATGTACATTTCAAATTCACTGGTATTTTTCAACTATGCATTGATGCCTGCCATGTGTAGCAAAACCATGACAAAAATAAAACAAAATGCTAAAAACGTAATGACTTTGTGCTTTACTTCATGCATTGCTACAGAGGGTAAATGTGAATGCGAAAAAGCATGTGAATTACACAAAAGATGGTTTACAAACTCAAGCTGATGATTTTGTGCATAATATGTGATATATATCACTAAAATATTAGGTATTCCAGTGGTTCATTTAGTATGCCAGTCTAAATTTTTTCCATTTCCAGTTTTATTTTCAAGTTGAACTTAAAAAATTTGAAGTAAGTGTGGGGTTTTCCTGACCTACTTTTTTCCTGTTAGAACTGTGCTGCTTTTGTTCCTGCTTTAATGGATTGCTGCTGTAAAAAGCAGGTACTAATAATTGCCAAGTTAAAGGAAAACTGTTGGAATGTTTCTTCTCCCCAGTTCTGTAGAAATAAGATAAAATTTCTCCTAATTCCCTAGTGGCCATACCAGAATGAGTGAATACATTTCCTATCAGTTTGTATTCTAGTTTAAAATTTAATCAGTCTTTTCACCTGACTACTGGTCCTGCTTTTTTCTACAGTGAATTATATTGTGTCATGTGCCTTTAATTAGTTATTGGTAAGCGAATTGTTCATAATTGGTGCCATGTCCCAAGGAAAATGCTGTAACTTTGAACTAAACTGAAATAATTTTTACAACAGGCCACTGATATTGGCTTATTACGAAAAAACATTTCCTTTGCTAATGGACATTAAGTTCCAGAAAGAGAGAAAAGGGGTAAAAATTCAGTCTAAAGGAAATGTTAGTACGTAGTTAGTGTGGAACACATGGTTTTTTATTCCATCAGTTACTGTCAGTATGAAGCTAAGTGATGAAATGCATCAGAAGAGAACATTTCTGTTTAAGTAATTGAGCCAATATAAATTCTGTCAATTATGCATTTTTTTCAGGGCAGAAGAATTTTGTATTCTAAATGTTACATATCACTTTGCATATCAGGCTTTGATCAACTGGTAATTTTGAGTCCACAGGCTAGGTTTTGCTTCCCTTCTACAGGCAGACCTTGCATTGAATCAAAGGAAGAGCTGTCAGGTTTAAGTACCCTTTGCATTCATTACTAAAAAACAGGAGTAACACTTTTTCTGAAAATAATAAATTAGTGCCTTCAGTTATTTCTTAAAATTTCCCAAATTTTACATCCTCTGCATTGAATTATAAATTTGAATGCTGTATTGTAGAACTGTTTTCTTGTACTAAAACCCTCTATTGAAGTAAAACAGAGCTTGTATTTATATGTGTATGTGTTGATACATATATTTATATGTATCAAACACTGATATTTCCTCCTATCTTCATATATAACTCTCAATTTGCTTAACCTAATTTTGGATTGATTTTTCCTGGGGTGAGGAGGAGTGTTTATTTCTGTGACTGGGGAACCCAGGTGTGCAAAAAATTTAGTTCAGTTTGAAGGAAATCTTCAGAATATTGAAAACTAGAAAAGAAATTATACTGTATTCCTTTTGATGGAAGTGTTAAGTAGATTTCTAGGCAGTTTGTAGAAACAGATTTGTTTAGTCAAAATTAATTGACCAAAAACATTTTTATTAGTAAGAATGGGTGAAACGGTCTGTGTGAAAATGGATTTGTTTAATCAAACTGTTGCAGGGATAATTGGCCAAGTCTCTGTATGCTGTTGCTGTATACACCACAGAAACAACTCCTTTGACCAAGGAATGTTACTGATATCTCTGGAGCTTTCCTCATGTTGCAAGGGGAATTTAATCTTACTTTGATCTCATTTTTCTCCTTAAAAATTGCATAACATTGAGCAAGGGCTCCTGGACTGGTGTGGGATAATTTCCTTGATCTCATTCACAACAATTTTTACAGATGAGCCAAAGAAGCTGGTAGCTGTGAGTTCTAGTACAGGAACTGCAGTAAAGAAATTAAATCAAAGATAGTAGACATAATAATGGCATAAGGGATTTAGAAGGTTATAATACTGCTAGTTTCACATTTCAGTTTAAATTGCTGATAATCAAAACCAATTCCTTTTTACATATTACTGCCAACAGTTTAGTAGCAAATTTTATCATGACTGCTAAAAATATGAAGTGTTTCTGGGCCAAATGAATACTGTAAGATTCAAGTAATAGGGCTTTATCAGTGTATTTCCAACAAAATCATCTGTGTCTTTCTGTTGCTTTAACTGTATATAATATGCAGATACAAGCACTCAGTTGTTTCCTAGTTTTACTGTGGAACCATGGTTGTGTCTTGGGGAGTTTTGATACAGAATGCTCTAGCTAGCAAAGCCTTCTAGCACAAGTAATTTTTTTTTTGTTAGTTCATGTAGAGAGAGATCTTTCCTTCTGCTAGACCTGTTTTGCTAAGGTGAAAATTTGAGTGATTTGCCAGCATCTTTTGGCTGAGTATTCTGTATGCCTTGTACATTAAATATAAATGAGCAAAGCAAAGGC